ACCCTTTGAAACACCGGAAAACATTTGCTTCTTCCTGTCCTTATTCTTAAACATAACGATTCAGAGAAGATTTCAATTAGTATAAAAATACAAAACCGAGTTAGATAAAATACAAATTTATCTTTGATCAAACAAGTTAAAGCCATGAAAAAGAACAAAAACGGGTTTTCAGTCAAGAAGAACTGCTACTAATATGTTCGTTAGCGTAAACGTTAAAACATTTTCCAACCTATTATTGCAAAAATGTTGGGGAGGATATTAAAGTCCCTGTTATGAAACATTCCCATCAAATGTTCCTCCCAGATACCACCGAGAGGCTTATTATCGTTCAACTGCTTTGGCCTTGAGATAAATCTTTTCAATGCTTCTCCAATTTAAAACACCTTAGTTGAATTGTTTTCAACTTTTTCTGAAATCTACTTGAATCTACATAAACCCCAAAATACATCACGGGCAGGAAATCATAATCTCGTTCTCGGTCTTCAGGCTCAGTATTTTTTAAGTGAGTCATAAAAGCAAACTTATCTTGAGATGATGTCTTGAAGTTGAAAATGTATACCGAGTCCATCTTACTTCAAAACAACACAACATTATCATAAAGTGCAATTGAGTTTCCTCCGCATGTACTGAAGCTTCGAGTTCTGAAGTTTCTTAATTCTTTTTTATTGTCCACTGCTTATTTCTTGTAGCAATTTACTTATAAAAATGAGTGCAATACATAAGGCTGGGATTGGGCATTCACTTTACATTGAAAAAGATGTTCCTAACTCTTAGGCGTTTCGATTGGTATTTTATGCTGCACTTTTAGGAAAATTCACTATTTACAAATCCACTCTTTCTACAATTACAGTTCCACAATTTCAATTTACAACTCCACAAAGCGAGTCAGATCCACATCTATGTAGTTATAAAATTTTCATGGCTAAAAAGGAAAAATATAAAATATTTCATTGTTTTGCAGAAAAACGTTTAATAGAAATTTTCATCCATTATTTGAAAAAAAAATCCTGCAGGTGCTTCGCAATGATGTAAATCCAGGCATAGGTCGCAAAATCAACTTAAAAACCACTTTCGGTGAGAGCGCGTTTATAAGTTTAATGTGCAGTAATTGTAAGTTAAAATACTAGGATTGAAATTTGTTTATGAGAACGCTGGAAATGTGAACACCTTTCATCAGTTTTGAAACAATGAATAATAACAATCGGTGATGTTTCTCGTATGTTGAAAAGAAATAATTTGCCCAGATATTTGCTTTCAGAAAACATCTTTCCTAGGCTAATCTAATACTCTACTGTAAGGCCATTGGGTGCCCGCATAGCTGGATTTGTAGAGGAGCTTCTATATCCTAATTCCTTGAACGCCTTTTTTGATTTCCCTATGCTTCAGATACGTAAGCAGAGAGATGAACTTAGTCTCATTATGGTTTGCAATGCACCTTGGTATTGCTCATGCCTTTTGGCTCTAGACTTGCAGTTAGTGTATAGAGAGCATCCCACCTTGTTTTAGTGGGATTTAATTGTGATTTCGTGTAGATACTTATAACCCACAAATGCTCAGTGTATTGCCTGGCTAGGCACGTATAAAAGCTTGCGATCAAGATTGTACAGGGAGTTGAGATATGCAGAGGTTGTGTTGAAATGAAATTGATGATTAATGAAGTATATATCCTAGCGTAGAGTTTTCGATCTATGTTCTGGCGTTATATACTCTGAAGAATGTCAGACTAAAAGCTTTATTAACATGTTTCAGAACGTTTGACTTTTTCAAAGCCATTTTTAAATTCTTTACCACAAAAAATTGTTTGCTAATTAATAAAATTTAACGTGTCAAAAACGGCGTTAGAATGGATCCTTGTTCAAATTGCTCTACCACACCTTCGCTATCAAGGTCACTCTTTCACGAGTACCTCTTTCTTTTACTTCGCAGCCCAAATGAGTTTAGCATCCCTTGCCAAGCTATTCAAAACACAGCATGCTCTGCATTCATTGCTTTCAGTCGAAGCTAGGCTTTGCTTTCAGCAAGCGAATGCGTTGTTGAAACACCGGCTGAAATATTAGAACTCTCGTTAATACTCTTTATAGCCAAGGGATTTTGTGTCTTTACTCTCATGACATGACCCTTTGTAAACTCAGGGCTATGTCTTAATCCCACATTCTGCGCAATTCAAAACAAATCAGTCATCTCCAAAGGACGCTATTTAAACGTGTCGCATGGAGTTTGGTCCCAATGCAAATCATTCCTGAAACGTATCGCAGTTATGGCGAGCGCTTTATGGCACACAAGGGATAAATGAAAGGATTAGAACTGTTTGTTGTTGTAAGCCCAGACGGTAATTTGGAAGATTTTAAAAGACGTTTATGCTGTGAAGAGCAACAAACTAGGTCTTCCTTTGAAAGGGGGGTAATACACATTGCGTTGTTGCAAAATAGAACTTGAATGATTTGAAAAGTTAATCAAGACACCCATTGAGGGTAATCGCCGGTCTGTACCCCTGTGCTCTGGTCTGTGTATCGATCACAGATCTGTGGTATCGATACGTCCCGATATAAATATATATATAGATTCCTCCAGAAAAGTCGACTATTGTTCTATCTGTTGTAAGTTAATGCTAATTGTTGCCAGTTATACATTGGCGTTAAGGACAGATTACCCGAAACAATGTCAGTATGGTGATCCATTTTCATGTTCGCTCCAAAGTTTGTCAAAGTCTCGTTCCCAGGTTGAAGTCTGCGCCACAGACCAACTTCCGTAAAGTGCGCCTTTCTCCTTTCCGTCCGTCTCCTTCGCAGAAGTTCAACATAACATCAATCACTGATGGAAAACACCGATTTGGAAGAATTTTTTATCACATTTATGAAGAAATGTGTTAGATGTAATGTTAAGTCCCGATCAAGCAAACTAATTGAGCATCTCATTAATCAACCCTCAGCATGCAGGTTCAAAAAAAATTTCAATTGGTTTGACCACCCTGTTGAGCCTCGTTGAATCGTGCTGAAATTTGATTGCAATCGAAATTATCTACTGCGCAGATTGAACAGTGTTCTGTTCTTCGTGTTGTTGAGTCATATTTAATTGGTTGGGCCCCATCGTGGAACATTTATCAATGTGCGCACGCTCATTTTATTTTAATTTCACACAAAATTACTTTGTACTGTTAGTTTTTCAGGAAAGTTATTCTGAAATTAAAGATTTGATGAATTTTCATTCTCCGAAAAAATTTTGTTCATTCCTAAACTTTCAATTGTTGTTTTCAAAGTTTAATATTGTTTTTGATACGTATGGTATGACCACCTAATCCAACATTCATCCAACATTCATCCAATATTCATGCAACATTCATGCAACAAATCGTCTTAGCGTATATGTTTGCTTTTTGTCTGCCCATTGACTCGTTCATAGTTTGTTTTCGTGGTTGCGTCATTGCTCGTGAAAATTCTTGCGTCAAGAAAGAAATTGCGTCAAGAGGCTTGAACGCCATGTTTGTTGTAACTTAATGATTAACGAGATGATTGTCGCATTTGAAAATCGCACCCTACATTTTGGAATATTTTGCAATTCAATAATCATGACTATTAGATACCTTTGTCCATATTTTAAGATAATCCGCCTTTCCTTGGAATCTTGCAGTTATTGTGGAGCGCTCAGGTTTACTCAAAGAGGAGATGCCGCTTTTACCTTTCCTATGTTGAAACCCAAGATGAACAGTAAAAGCCCCACAGAGATTGGAATATCTCCTCTTCACGTTTCAGTGTCACTTTGGCATTTTTTAAGTGCCTAGAAGGTGCATTGGGACACATTTGGGTTTAAAATACACTTTGGTTGTTTCTTAGGGTTTGAAAACAGGACTGTTTGACTCACCTCAGGAATGTAAAATGACCACACATTGCAGTCAAAAATTCCAGAAGATATGCTTTATCAAATCTCTGTTTGTAAGTTTAACGAGGCTCGGTGCTCTTAATTTTTGGAAAAACTGAGACTGTTTTCTATGCTGTTTTGATTCAATATTTGATATACTATAAATTTTTTTAAAACAACTAGAATGCACCATATTGCTTATATTACATTTTTGAAGCCCAGTTGATAAGCTGATAAAATCTACTCTGTTTTCGTAACTTGAAATAAAATATTGCAAAAGGACGTTGCTTTTTATCTTCCAGTTTTTCATCTGAGGTGGTCATATTCTAAAGTTTTTCTTATTTTCTCGATAACTCATTTTTCTACCTCCACGTATCCTAAGGAATAAATCAAGGTAGATCATTCTATGTACAGAACAGGCTCCTCTGCCTTGCCCTAAAGATCTTTGGCAAGCATATTTTAGAAAACAGAATTAAATAACCAGATGTTTGACTTTAACAAGGATTTTTTCAAAACAATTACACAAGATAGCGGAAATATGCGTATTTCACGCCAGCAGAGGCTAAAAACAACTTTACCTTTGTTAAAGTCTTTTGTATTTTAGGTTGGGTTTTGTAATGTTTCCCGTCGCGAGTACTGTGAAACAAGGATTCTTAAATCTCGTTTCTAAGAGATAAGGATGAAGTGACTACATATTAATTATAGCAAGTAATCTACAATCGCTTTATGAATCTTCTCTCTTAAATACAGCAAAAATATTGTCACTGGATATTGTTCTAATCGCTGTTGGTGCGGTTATCTCATACCAAATACCATCTACTATACTTTGGTGTTTATTAAGCAATCAGTAATGCTCGTGATTATCTCAAGAAAGAAAGACTACATAGAGCCATATGATTTCACCCTGAAGCCTTTGAAATTTCCATGCCTTGATGATAAAATATTTATGCTGATCTCAGTAAAACGTAGGCTGTTTTGTTTTTGTAAACACATAAAAACACTCTCGTACTTTTGTTGTTTTCATCAAAATACTTTGAAAATGAAAACCTGTCAAATTTGCTTTTTAGATTACAACTTAGTCTTCAATAATTTATTTGTTATTGAGCTATTTTTCTATTCTAACATCTAGTGTGTCTTCCATTTAGATCACAGAACCAGCAGCCAAAAAATCGTAAAAAGATGTTAGCAGGTAAGAAACTTTCAGTTCAGTGTGTTCGGATTTTTTGGGCAGTCTTGACATTTGTCTTATAATAGTCTTGTTTTGCAACATTTTGTAGCACAGTAGAAATGTTTTGTGTTAATTTGTTACCCGTTTATTACTTTATTGCTGTTTTTTCTAAATCTTCATACGTTTTGATATAACTTTATCTGTTATTAACACACTTGGGTGTGCAGAACAGGTCGGTTTAATTTTGAATGAAATTTTAATGGGTGTGATAAAAGCATAACACCGTAGCAAAAAACCTCTATATATTTATAAACTAAACTTCGTTCAGTAGCTTAAAACTCCAGTATTTGTTTCCTGATGAAATGCATTTTTGAACTTTGCTACCCCTCCCTTTGTTAGAAATCTACAGTTGAATCCAGTAAAGTAGGACCCGAACAACGCGGATTTTCGTTTCCCATTAAATTTTTCTTCGTTATTCAAGTCAAATATCCTACCCCTGATGAGTCGGACATTCACTAAGGCGGACCGGTTCCTTACCCGAATTACCGTAATTCAAGTGTACTTCATTTTACTCATAACTTTGAAAACGTGAATATGAAAAATAAATGAAATCGGAAAAGGTTAATGAGACTGTAAGGCCTAGCATGACCTTTCGATCTTTTTTATGTTTATCAAATACAGTTTTCAGAAAAGTGTTTATCTTTCATTTTGAAAATTCCCCCACCTACTTTAAACCCCCCTAAACTGAAATTAAGGTGGGGTTTGGGTGTTTGAATTTCATTTGTTTTTTATAACATTCCTCATTCCCATCGACCATACGGTTCCCTCTGTCTACGTCTTGGCCCGGTTCAAAACCAAAGAGCCTTACCAACAACGACGTTACTTTTCAATCCTCTTAATATCTAACTACAAAGCAGACCAATTCGACATTATTATCTTAGACAGAGGAAGTGTTAGTTGTGGCATTGTATGTATGTGGATCAAGTTATTCGCATTTGCAGAAGAGGCTCTCTGCTTCCTTCTTCTGCTCTCTGTGGTATGCGTTTGCCGCCACACCGAGTTACGCTGCCACTGGCTGCTATTTATTTAGGCCCATTCATTTCTGGGTCACAGCTAGATCGTTGCTTCGAGGCTTTTGAAGTTTACCCTCGCTTCATATCATCGTGTGCAGCTTTCGTTTTATGTTTTTCAGCAAAACTCCATTAATTGCTGTATCTTCTTTCGTAATTTGATCAATTTCTTCCCATGATCGATCCACTTTTTAGAGAGCGAATTCAAGTCGATGATATAGAGATAAGCCAGAAACCTTTTCTGATAAATATTGAGCAAGACATTTTAGTAATAAGCATTAATTTTTCCACACTCAAAGCTCTCTTATAATACAGGTATCTCTGTTATTTGTAGTCAAAATGTGACTTGGCATTGCAAACATTGCTGGTGATGGGTTTGGTCATCTTTCTGATTTACTTGTGTTTTGCCATCTCCATTTCTGCAGCTATCGAGTTTGTTTCGAACAACCCAGTGAATGGAACAAGGAACGCTGCATCAACCAATGGAAAAATACTTCTCGGTGGCCTATTCCCAATCCACAGCAAGGTTGAAGGAAAAAGTGCTAGAAGTTGCGGGCGTCTCAACCACGAAAGAGGCATTCATCGAATCGAGGCAATGCTATATGCAATCGATATGATCAATAAAAACAATACAATTTTACCAAAGCATGCGATTGGTGTAAATATTAGGGACACATGTGGTGTTGATACCCACGCTTTAGAGGAATCTTTGCATTTCATTAGAGATTCCCATGAAAGCTCCAGTAACTGCGGTTTGTACAACTCGCAGAATGGTTTTGTTGGGGTTATAGGCGCAGCATCGAGCGGGGTTTCAATCCAGGTCGCTAATTTGTTGCGCCTTTTTAGGATGCCTCAAATAAGTTATGCCTCAACCAGCCCCGATCTGATTGATCGCCAGAAATTCGAGTATTTTCTCCGCACCGTTCCCCCTGATACTTACCAAGCTCGGGCTATGGTCGATATCATTAGCCACTTTAACTGGACCTCCGTTCACGCATTGTACTCTGAAGGAAACTATGGACGCAATGGCATGGAGGAGTTTCTAAAAGGCACTAAGAATTTAAGTATTTGTGTCGTGTCATTGGAGATGGTAAACGGAAAAACGGACTTTTCTGCTCTAGTAGACAAGCTGTCGAATTTCGAATCTACGCGGGTAGTTGTCTTGTTTTTGTCGACAAATCATATTTCAATGTTGCTAAAAGCCGTAAAGGCAAAAATGTCCACCGCCCCTTTATCTAAAAGGAAATTGTACAAGTTCAAGTGGCTGGCTAGTGACTTTTGGGGCACAAGACTGCGATTTATAGTCGATAACGACTTGTCCGAAGCGGCAGAAGGCGCAATTACGCTGACGCTTCAAACGACCTACGTTGACGGTTTCGAAAAATATTTTCGAAATTTGACCCTCGAAAATAACAAACGGAATCCTTGGTTTAAAGAATTCTGGGAAGAGACACATAACTGTACACTGACGAAGTCAGACGCTGGCTTGAAAGTCTGTTCAGGGAAGGAAGAACTACCCACGTGGTATCGTTTTGACGATAAAGTTCCATATGTAATAGATGCTGTGTATGCAATGGCGAACGCTGTGAATTTCTTGATATCCGCATTTTGTAAAGGCAAAGAAGATAATTGCCAACCTTTTGTGTTTACTGGAAGAAACCTTCTTGATTCATTGAAAAACAATGTATCGTTTAATGGCGAGTTAGGCCAATTGAAGTTCGATGAAAATGGAAGCGTTGTACGAGAGTATGAAATTCAAGAATTTGTGCTAAAGCCAGTTCCAGAGTACAGAAAGCTCGGTTCATGGCCGCATAGAGTCAAAGACATCGTGCCAGCAGAAAAAGTACAATCGACGTGTTCTGAGACATGCAAGGGAGGCCAATTTAGAATCCCGAAGTACCATATGTCATGTTGTTACACATGTAAAGACTGTGGTCCCGACGAATATGCTGAAAGTAAGTAGTAGGGTTGTAGCTAGTATTGTTCTCAAAGGGAAGGGGTGGGTGGGGCTCATGCGGAATTTAAGTCTCTTTACCCTCATTAGTTGTCACCAAGTCCTTTGTCATACCACTTAGCCCCTGTGTTGCCAGCAGGCCTTCTGGGTGAACCATTGGCGAACACGGATCCGTACCAAGGACCCTTGGTTTGGGGTAGTGCACCATGGGAGATTCTTTACGGATAGGCATACCAGGTGATAGTATAGCTTAATGCAATGGTAAAACATATATAACAAAATTGTCAGATAATTGTTAACAGGATGTTTGATAATCCAGTCCAGGATCCGGGCATGCATATGTACGGCCTGACGAGTCTAGTCCAGTCTATGTCTGCCTGAACGTTTATGACACTGATGTGACTGCGTTTTGGGCAATTTGCAGTTGTAATGTTTCTTCATAATACATATAACCTTGATGTGTTTTCTGACGCAGGTTCTATCTCTTGTAGGTGAAAGCCGTTGTAAGACCTGTAGTAACTGGGAAAAACCAAATGCAACGAAGACAGGATGTGTCTTGCTGCCTGAGGAGCCAATGAACGCCACTTGGGTTATACTGATGACCACCATGTCAAGCGTTGGCATTGTTTTGACTTTCCTTATCATGTTTATCTTTTTGTACCATAACAGCACTGCCGTGGTCAAAGCCTCTGGAAGGGACCTGACTTATCCCTTGCTTGTTGGAATCATTTTGTGTTACACCCTGCCGTATGTGTGGCTCTCCGAACCGACCTCGGCTACATGTGGAATCACTAGATTTGGCCTCGGTTTCGGCTTTTTTATTTGTTACGCTGCTCTCGTAATAAAGACGAAACGAATCGAGCATATTTTCAGAGATCGCGATAAGATATCAATAGAGAGGCCATTAGCAATGGGTCCGTCTTCCCAGACATTAATTTTGTTAGTAGCTGTTTTAATAGAAGCTCTCTTTGCCATTGTTGGTTTATTTATGGAAGAGCCTAAGACACAAATCAAAGTTGACAAAGTGAGAGGCCATCGACTAAAACTCTGTGTTCTACCAACCTACGACATGGTGGTGGCTTTCTCATGCAATATCTTGCTAATCGTTGCCTGCACGGTCCTTGCATTTCGAACTCGCAAAGTACCTGCCTGCTTCAATGAGGCCAAATACATAGGCTTCGTCATGTACACAACCTGCGTGATCTGGATCGCATTTATAACTGTTTACTTCGGATTGGAATTCCATTACAAAGAAATCGCTATTTGCATGGCAGTGTTCTTGTCCGCAACAAGTATTCTCGCTGGCGTATTTGGACCAAAGGTGTATATAATTGTTTTCCGACCTGGAAGAAATATCCGATCTCGTTCCGGACTTTTCATCCATCATGTTTATAGCAACCAGTCATTTATTGGAGATTTTCCAGGTGAGAATTAACCTAAATTCTTAATTTTCATTGTTATATTGGATATTTTTATCGTGTATTATATTTCCTTGTTAATTACACATTCGAGTAATTGCCTTTATTGATAAACAAAACGCGCATGAAACTCTGGAAGGTATCACAATCCAGACAAAGAAAATTGTTATTGGTGCTACAAAACTATCGAATCTTCACAGTATTTACCAAGGAAAGGGTCAGTGGCAACTCCATACCTATCCCAAATAATCACCACACCCCCCTGTTATCAAATTTTCCATAAACTTGCATTTTATAATTTGCGTGGATAAATATCAATGTGAATCGTTTCCTTTCTGCACTTAGGACGCAAAACAACAACAACAACTGAACTGGAGCTGACAGTAACGAATCCTGGACATGGTGTTTCACGTGACAATCAGAATGCAACGCGACAGTGAAGACAGAGCATCCGCATTCTGGTATTGAGCTCTATAAGTTGAACAATCGTTGTTCTATTGTTAATAAGTATGCTAATTTATTCTCGTTTGAGCTTGAGTTCTCTTGTAGACTGTGGCCAGGGACTCCCCTTTGGTTCATGCACTTTTAAAATGCTAAGCGTTTTTTGGTTAGGGTGACCCTTCTGGGGGAATCCATGAAATGTACATGTGGCCCTTTAAAATGCCTGTTCATCACTCTCTGTCTGTATAGAGAGTATCAGCATCATTGATTGGTTAATAAAGCTCTATCCGAGAAATGTATTTCATCAACTTTATTGGCAATTATGACATATCATCCCTTTCTACTTTTTGTATTTCTGTAATATCTATCTAGCTCAATTTTCTACTGAAAACTTTTTCCAAGACGCATAATGAATATAAATATGAATAGAAGTTCAATGCAAAACCGTCTAGGTATTGGGTCACTGTTACTCTTGTAAAATGCATTATTGTACATATTTCCTGTGTAAATGTGTCTGACGAAATTTGCACGGATTAATGGCATCTTAGGCCATCTGTCAATCAAAATTGGCCAATAAATAGGCGTAATAACGCTCACATGTTTATTGATTGGCCAATAGTAGATTGACAGGTGACATAAGCCACTTTAGTTGTCTGTAAATCATAGTTCATCACATATTAAATATGATTGTTAATTTAATATCTACTTGGAATGGTGTGAATATATTTTCTGAATTTTAAGATTTTGGGGATAATTAGCGATTAGAAATATGTTTCAATGTTTTATCTTTTATAGATAGTGGCGTATCCTGATCTCCTGGGCGTAACTACTATTGCTTTTAGGCGTAACTACTATTGCTTTTAGGCGTAACTACTATTGCTTTTAGGCGTAACTACTATTGCTTTTAGGCGTAACTACTATTGCTTTTAGGCGTAACTACTATTGCCCTAGCCTCTCCAAAAATGGTTGAAGTTGTTTTTCCCAATACACAATCCTTTTTTTTCGATTTTTCTAAAGTGATGGTGCCCCACAAAAACTATCCCAAAACTTTACCCTTTCTCCTGGATTGATCTTTCTTTTACTAACCTTCAGGAAATTTTTCCAACCAACACACTTTCCACAAATCAACTAGCAATAAAATAAGGGTAAGATGAAAGGGGGTGGGGAACAACAGCCCCTCCCCCTAAGGTATCAATTTTGTGAGGACTCGAGGACATTTGCTTCTTTTCGGCATTGGTCTGGAAATTACATCTTTACATTCTGGAATTTACCCCTTTAAATGACCTCAACATTATTTTCGAACATATGCAGGTACGCCTTTGTTTATGAGTTAATTGAATTTGTCTTTTTTACAATATCTCGTATTATGTACAGGTTTTTTAATTTCTATCATGCATGTTTTCATTCATCGCCTCTTTTCACTCGTGTCCCTTTCAATCAAGATTAAAATATATTTGAATGTTAGAAAGGGAATTGGGAGTGATTTTTGTAAACAATAATGTAATTTTTAGTGTATTTTTTACCTTCTTTCTACAAAATGTTTAAATCTTGGACGATAGTGATAAGCGGTACTCCCTTCTTCGAATATGTAGGACTCCTGTTCATTAGCCTCGTTCTAGATAGTTGTACAATAATTCATATTTTTGCAGACAATCATCAGTGTTATACAAGGAAAAGTTGTATTGACGTAAAACCAGCATTGTATTTTTAAGTGGAATACTTTATTTGTTGCCAATTAATATGTTACTTTGAAAAAAGACGAAACTTTATTCTATCCACTCGTTTTGTTTTTCAAATGTCGGTTACAGATAGAACAAGGATACTTGTTGTATATCTTTAAATTATACATTTCTATTTAACATTTTTATTGGTTTGGTGCAAATCGACAAAAAAATGCTCGTAACTACTTCATAACGTAGAATGGCGGCAATGTAGCAAAATTCTTCATTTCAAAGAATCGTTAAGTATGCACGAATTGAGAGTCTTGTATCTGCAGTTGTTCTTGTTGTGCTTAGAAACCACGGGTCGTCAAACTTACATGTAGAAAGATAAAACTACCAGTGGGAATTCATACTGTATCTTTTCGGCGTAATTCGATGTAATTTATGTCATACATAAATTAACGTAATTCAGGTCATATCATACCTTAGTAATGAGAAGCAATGCTGTTAAGTAAATGGCAGTACATCTTAATTACAGAACATCGAGATTGATGTGCCCCAGGGCTCCTGCCTTGCCTCACTCCTGTGTATGTGATGACTTGCTGTTTGCCTTACAAAGAATTCATAAGGTATGCGGATGATACAAGCATTTCCTGTTTCTCAAAATCTAACGTCGACTTTAGCAATGGCATCAATTTAGATCTTAAGAATCTTTACTTGTGGCTACAGAAAATAAGTTTCCCCTTAATGTCGCAAAGACACGATCATGATTCTCCGTATTGGACGTATCCTTAGAAATCTAGATTAAATTGACTTAACCAATGTTCCCAATCTTTCAAATAAATGACGAAAAGATTGAATTCGAGTATTCGAGTATAAATCAAATATCTTGGGAGTAAAAATTGATCTGTCACTGAATAGGGAAGAGAATATCATCGTTGCCAACTGTAAGATTTCACGGGGAATAGGAATGCTCAAGTATTCTAAGATATATCATTCGTTGGTTACCGTAAAAAGAATGAGTTTCAAAATAGTTCATCCACCTTCTAAATATTGTTCCTTGAACTAGGGATGTGCAGAAGAAACCATTCTAAAAAGAAGCAAAAATTCCACATTCGGGAAGCTCGTGTCGCTACAAATAGTCCTTTTTATTAAGTATCGTTGCCACTAATATCACAACTAGATTGGTTAAATGTTAAAGAAGTGATTAATTTCGAGGCCACTTCTGTACTTATCCTTGAATTGGCTGGCACCTCCCTATCTTCAGATGAATTTTGAAAGTTTTTCCGACTTTTACAATCGGTTCTTACGTTATACCAGAAGTGACCTTGGGATTTACTGTCCAGGACTTCAAATGGGAAACTGAGCCATTTTAATCGCGGAGGTATTGTTTGGAACCAATCGAGCTGCAAAATAGAAACTGCTCCTTCGCTAGCTACTCTTAAGTGTAAACTAAAAGCGATAAATCTTGATCAAAACTTAATTGATTTCTACGTTTAATACATACATTTCATGTATAATTGATAAATTTATAACGGGTCTTTAAAAAACCTAATCAATTTAATTTAGTTATGTTTTTAAGCAAGACACATTGTAACCCAGTTTATTAAAATTTATTGAGTGTTTTTAACTTTGCTGAAATAAAACATTATGAAACGAAAATTGGGGGCATTTAGATTGCCCAAAATCATTCTGTTATTGTTACAGCATTTTAAATGGGAAACTACCGATCGACCTTTTTTAGCCTACCACTCAACAAAATGTAAGTCTGTCCGGGTAAGAATAGCGATAAGTTGAAGGCTTTTTAGGCCTGAAAGCCCCTGAAAGTAGGCTGGTGAGCATGGACCAGCCAAAATGAATACCAGTATTCCTGAAGAGCACTCCCAGCCTCGTTATGAAATTGCTTTGCAATGGTGACACAGGCTTCATTTTGGAAATTTCGCGCGAAAGCTTGCCAATGGCCTGAAGAACTCAGAACAGTTGAGCCGTACTTAAAGATGGCATTTGAGCCTTTTGTAGAAGGATGGGATTTCGTGGAGACGCTTGGAGAAGGGGCGTATGGAGAGTAAGTATTAACTAAAATGTTTGCACGTTGAAGCTCCAAGAGTAAAAAGGTTAATATAAGAGTTGACCCCATTTCAATTCTTCCATTTGATTAATAATACATAGAGGGTGATTTTGAATATCTATGTGTAGCAGAGTTTTTTTCTCATCACGACTGAACCCAGCCGTAAAGCTCTTATCCTCCCTTCCTTCAACAAATAGCGTGGACGCTGCTGTAACTGTGTGTTGTTTGTAAATGCTGTTGTGTGCAGATCTACCTACAGGCCTAATCAGAGAAGTCGTATGTATTTTTAAATTGTGAAAGATCATATGAAGTTGAGATCATTGATAGGACTCTCTCTAAACTATTTTTTTACTCGTTTGTAAGCGATAATGAAAAGTTTCATCGGTTTTATAATAAAGTATTCAATTTATATTTCCAGGGTCCGACTTGCTGTAAACCGTACAACTCAAGAAGCAATTGCAGTTAAAATTGTCAACTCTGATAAACTTGTTGGAAACCAGGATAGCTTGAAAAAAGAGGTTCCTTTTTGCTTTTTAAATTTTATCAACAGCTTATTACAATTAACTTCAACTCATTTTACTTTTTTTGTGTTATATTAACCCAGACTAAATATAGCTTGTAAATTATGATTTCCTTCCAATATAATATACTCCAGAAAGTTTGAAAGCAATTCTGTGACAAAAAAGGTTGCCATGCAACGGCAAATTTAAAATTTTCATTAAAATAAACAAAACAGTTCTCGTGCAATTAGCTGGCTGGCCATAGAGTACCAAAGTATGATGTTGTCAAAAGTCAATCTTCGACCACATATTCTGAAAGAACAGTATAAATTTAACTCTCAGAATACAAAATCAGTTAAGCATGTTCAAAATTTGGTGTGATGTAGCCAATGGAAGATTTCAGGTTGGTACAATTTTTATGAAAAACATATTCAGCAGTTTCTTAACTGCAGTTTGTCCCAACAATTTTTATTTCACAATTTTTCAAAAACTGTTCCATTAGAATCTGATGTTTCTTTGTTTTGTTTGTTTACAAAAATAGCTGCCTAGCATGAAAAGTGGCTCTCTAACACGTTACTTCTGTATGTCCTCGTCAGCAAGGTTCATTTTTGATGCATATTTTTCCGTAACCATATTATAAATATACTCAATTAAGCTTCTTGCATCTTTTGTTGTTATATACATAATTTAATGCTAAGAATAAATAAATGAAATGAAGTTGATTGATATTCTATTAGTTCTGTCAATTGATTCTACTATTTGCTAAGTCAAACTGAATCAATGGCCTTTTAAACTCAATCAAACTTCTTTGAACACAAAATTGTCCATACTCTTGTTTCGTTTTTGAAATAAAAACCCATTAGTTTTTCTAACGTGATGGTTAATCTATAAGTTGAAAAGTGCTTGATTATTTTGTAATTTTTTTTCAACTGATACAATTTTTTCCTGTATTAGGTCTGTATTCACAAAATGCTTCAAAGCACCCACATTGTCAAATACTATGGCCAAAGAACGGAAGGTCCAAGAATTTATTTGTTTCTTGAATATGCACCTGGTGGAGAACTTTTTGACCGAATTGGTAGGCACAGAGGAATTTTGGCTTTTTAAACTTTGATTGATTGCAACCATGATGCCTTTGAATATTGCTGTCTTTCTTGTCCCAGCTTTGGATGATAATTACATACAAGTTTTGTACAAGGATTTTCTATTTGCAATGGCTTTTTACACTTGATCACCAAGGGTCTGTGGTTCGAGTCCCTTGCATGACCAAACTTTCACTCAGAGTGAGGAGAGTCGCCAGCTCTCTGTAATTCCAGGCATAGGAATCATGAGGTGTGGTCACATCGAAAGGAAGGACCAGGACACTGCTCAATAAGCATAAGCTTCTCAGTGTCCTAAAAACTACCTTCGGATGCTAGGTAGAAACAAATACAAAATACAAAGAATCTGCTTGCTCTGGGTTAGATGTTAAAAATTTACAAGCAAAAAACTAGAATTTATAAGGTCATTATCAAATACCATATGACAATCATTTGGAATATGTGGTGTATCTGCTTTTTTGTATATCTGAAATTTTCTATTTCATCTTTTATCTTTTAGAACCTGATGTGGGAATGCCTGCACCCGAAGCTCACAAATATTTCAAGGAACTGATTTTTGGTCTGGTGAGTGATATTTTTGTTTTGTTTCATATTCACCTCTTCTTCTTGATCAGACCTGGCCGTAAGACTTTTAACAGGGGAGCAGTAAACAGCTCTCCTATTATTATTCAGGTGAGCTATAAGAATAGAAACAAAGGAAAAATTGATTTCCTGGAGAGCAAATTTGCTTTTTAGAACAATTTAGGAGAGCAATCTCTAGCTCCCCTCCAGCGTTTGAGGAGAGCCTGGATGGGAGCAAGAGCTATGGCTCTCCTCAAATGGCCAGGCCTGCTTGATCATTCTGTCTCATTTTGATTACATCTCTTATTCGCTATTTCAAATATTGTTTCTCTATTTCTTTATCCCAACTGTCCCCTAACAGTTTTTTCTTATCTGTTATTTTCTTGATTATTGCTCTCTTTTATTTTTACCTCATTCAAAATTTCCAAACTAAATATTTACCTGTTCCCTTTTAGGAATACATACATTCAAAAGGTGTAACTCACAGAGATATAAAACCAGAGAATCTTCTTCTTGATGTGGCTGGTAATATAAATTATTGTTGGTTGTTGTGCTACCCTTTACATATTCCTCGTAAATTGTTCATGCTATTTAGTCATTTTACCATCCTTATTACTTTCTTCTCGACTCATTCTTTTTTGGCAATGATGATAAATCTACATTGTGAAGTATAATTGATTGGCTTCTAGTTGTAATTTGGTACTTTTTTATCTGTGTCCTTGACATTGACTCAAGTCAGTCCCAATGTTTGATCAGTCATTCCTTTTCATAGTTAATTATTAGGTGATGTTAATCCAGCTATCACAATCTGCAAATTTAAACTGATAAACCTAAACTGATACCTACATGAAGCCGAGTCTGACTCCTCTTAAGATCGATAAATGAATTCTTGCTGTCCTTGGCTAGCTGACAAAGCTCCTTCAGTCCAATCTTACTTTTTAATTATCCAGGGCGGCTTATTAAAATAGTTTGCCCCTGCGAGCAAAAAGCTGAGTAAAAATGTGCCTGCAAGTAAAATAGGTTGCAACTTATGGTCAGATACTGATAAATTTTGCAAATCTGCCTTTCTACTGGGTTTCTTCTTAAGCTTAGTACTGCTACACCCAATTATGTTTGTCAAAAGCAGATACCATATCAATATGATCATAACCACAATTTCATGAAAAACTGAACAGATGGCATAACAATAGCTGAAAGCAATCATATATACATTGATGTGTGTCGCAAGAAAGGAAATGAAGTGATCCAGATTCTATCTGACTTTTTTGGTTGTCAAGCGGTCCTGTTGCATTAACAGAAATTTAACATAACACTGGGTTTTTCTCTTTCCACAGTTTAATTAATCTTTGCCATGAAATTTTATTTCCCCGATGAGTCCAGTGCAAAGTTTCTCAGTCAACAAAGTGACTTTACAGAATTTTGATACTTTGTTCTCTAGCTTTGAGTTTATCATTCTTGTAAGATTTGATCATTTTGATGTGGAAATGCGTTCACTCCAAAAATTGAAAGAAAAGATGCTTGTTTTTGTTGTCGCAAATTGTCAGAATTTTCGCTGGCGCAACTTTAAGAATTTTTATATGGTAGTATTTATCATTTTTAAGGTATATATATTTCGTTTCTCAGGTAATTTGAAGATTACTGATTTTGGATTAGCAACTGTGTTCAGATACAAGGAAAAGGAGAGGCTGCTTGACAGATGTTGTGGAACACCACCATATGTAGCCCCCGAGGTTCTTTTTTTATCTTAATTCCTACTCTGTTTGGCTTGTCAGCACTATATGTCTACTTTCTTAAATTTATACTGTTATTGTCAGTGTCTAATTCCTGTCATTTGATGGTTAAGAGAAGTTAATTGTTGGGAAAAAGTTGAATTAGATGTTGGTAGAACATGGTGGAAAAACGAGAAAAAGCTGACCAAAGGAGACTCAAATATGATTAAAAAGCTACATTTTCTATGTTATAATAATCAAGGGTTTTTATAAATTTACATACAAGCAGGTGTGCACTTAAAACCATGCTACTTAGTAGCACAAAATATGTATTAAATCTTACAACGTTGTGAAAGAAACAACAAATAGCTTTGCTTTTATTTCTCTGACCAATGTTATCATACAGAGTCACAGTTGTGAATGCAAGGAGCTTTGTTTCCAGAACAATCAGTTGACGTTCTTCATTGCTTGAAAGCAGCATATTTAAACTTTTTAGTCTTAAGAGCAAAATTCCTAAACCAAGATATTTCTGCAAGAATATTGTTGTTTATTATTAGTCAAAGCTTAGCTACCATACCTTTGAATTCTTTCTCTGAAGATGTGCCCCCTGTAAATTATTCCAACACTTGTGCCTCTGCAACTTTTGATTGTGCGTATCTGGCTCCAGTAAACATTCGTAGCAGCCACTTTCAGGTTTTCTGGCCATTCTTAAGTACTTCAAGATGAAGAAGCACTTATTTATTTACACATAATTATATTTCATGTCGTTTGCAATTATTTTCAAGGTGCTATCAAAGAAACAGTACAAAGCTGAACCAGCCGATGTATTTTCATGTGGTATTGTCCTTACTGCAATGCTCGCTGGAGGTGTGTTCTAGTTCACTCTTTGTAATTTGATTGTACAGTTGAATCCTGTTAAGTTGTACCAAGGACGCCTGAGATGGGAGAGCGTGGGGGTCAACCGCCCCTTTTGCCTTCTGATAGGAGGGGCAAGAGGGCCAGAATGTCATTTTCATCAAAGTGCCCTTGAAGCCGAGGATTCATATGCAATTCTGCTTAAGTGCTTAATTCGTGACGACCTTTCTCAAAACTTGTAAAATAAATCCTTATGCCAAAACTTACAGAAGAAAAATAAAATGGCAGTTAGCAGAAGAATTGGTAGAAGCTGGGAGTTATCTTTCAAATGCCCTTTTACTCAAACCTGCCTTCTGCCCCTTTATAGTTCCGGCGTCCTTGAGTTGTACCCCCGATAACTCGGACTTTACCAAGTCGGACGGATTTTCCAATTTTCATCAGATTTTCCTTCCCTATCAAGCCAAAGTCGTTCTCCGGGTAAGTCGGCTAAGTCAGATCATTTCCATACACCCCTTGGAGGTCCAACTTAATGGTATTAAACTGTATAAGAAATTATTTTCCAGGGAAAGCCTGTTTTGCTAAAATAACGCAATCAGTAAGGCTAGTGCCTGCCTATGTTTTGCAGGGTCGTATCTACTTCTATTTTAAAGGTCCTGCACCCCTCCCAAATCTATAAAAATTCATTGTTTCCAACAAACAATTTATATTGCTCATAGTGTTCGCTAACAATGATGTGCCTCCAACAATGCTGTCCCTTCTACCGTACGTGTTGTGGGTTTCAGCGTCAAAATTAAGATGACGCTTTGATGCAATACTTGTAAATGAAAATCTTACTAAGAATTCTATGGATATTGATAATGAAAATCGTTGGCAAAGGCAGTTAAAAGATAAAGAAAGGAATATCTGCAGCAGACGGATAAGGGAATTTGGATTTAGAGGGTTTGGATTTGGTGACTTGATCATGAGAAGATAATGATCAATAACTCATTAATTGGTCAGATGAAAACTGCTAACAACGACTGTCGATTTGGCAAAATAATCGAATATATAGTTCTGTGTGTTGCTGGCTATTGGCTACGAGAAGTTTTATAGCATTGGTTTTAAAAGAACGGACTTGATTGAAGATGCGGTTCTTAAGCTTGTGAAGTCTTGAAAAGGACTGGTATGGGGTTTCGTCATTTTCTTAAGGTTGATCTGAAAATTGGTTTATGCAAGAGGCACATATAAGGAATTTCTATTGAACATAGTTGAGCTAAGAAGAAATGGACTTAAACAGAGCATGGTTTCTCTACAGTAAGATGGGAAGGAAGGATTGGTATTGGTTTACAGAAAGAAAATTTATAAAACCATGCTAAATCCCTTGTATTACAACTACACATTCGTATAGAATTATTCCAAAAGCCAGCTTTGTTTTCTAATATTTTTTGCTGTACATTATTTCAAAGTTTTAAATGGAAAACTGCCTGTCTTCGTAACTTGTATTTGTATCCTACATATAACGCCCTGTAAATGGTACATGTATATATGAATAATGCTCTGTCAGTGGCGGGCACCTGGGGGGTGATAGGGGGGCAGTCGCCTCTCCAATATTTTGGAAGACAATGCTCTTTTGTTCTAAAACAATGATAAAATGTGACGTCATCTTATCAAAACAATAGGCTAGCCCCCCCTCCCCCCAATATTTGACCAAGTGTCCGCCACTATGGCTTGCATATACGAAATCCTATACATATATTTTGCAATGGAATTTATCTTTGTCTAACCCAATAGCAAAAAACTATCAAAGAATAAGCTTTGATCGTTTAAATATGTGAATTGAATTTCGAAAAATGATATTTTTCACACTTGCTTCAAAATACATTCCTTACCTTATGAGTTGAGTTATCACTTGTTTTAAAGTATGGAGGTATCAGACGGAAATATGTTAAACAGGCATAAGATGTCCCTAAGAATGCAATTTGTCGAAAATATCTCTTTCTCGATAAAAACAGGCAAGTTAAGAACGTTAATGAATTCCTGAATGGCTTAGGATAACCAACTTTTTTCTTCGTCAGTAAGTTATTTTACTGTCTAGACAACAGATCTTGAATCAGTCTGGTAGCTCCAAGTTTACCACGGAAACCAAAAAAGATAAATTTAGGGGTTGTTTTTCTATTCTAGTTTTCCATTCCTTTGAGATCGTCCTATTTACACTACACGTTTTTTTATAAGAAAGTTTTTTCAGCCCAGCCCTCAGACTTTCTTACCTATTTCCTAATTTCAGCACTAAAACTTTCTTAGCACTTTCTTAACGTAAAATTGGAAAGTTTTACGTTACTGGTGGAGAAAATGAAATGCTATAAATATGCTATATTTCTCAAAAACCCTCAACGTCATACTGTATTTGTCGTTTCCTGTTCAGCACATTACTGTATTGTTGAAATATTTCACTCTTACACCGCAATTTCCTTTGAAACTTTGAACATCTAAATTTTTCAACTTTCGTAGGTTTCAAAGATCCAGCCCTGAATTTTCTTAACTTTTTGAAGAACCGAGCACAACTTTCTTATAAAACATCATCATCAGGTACCATCTTCTATCGGAAGGTTGGCTACCATGACTCTCCAACTATCCCAAAATCTGAGTTTTGGTTTGTTGTCATGGTCATATATAAAACACTTTCTTAAAATAAAAACGTGTAATTCCACTACTACGTCCAACAGCGAGATCCCCACTGTAGTACAGCCGACTCCATTCATAGTAGCATCAAATGCTTGAATGAATGGATCTTTGATCTGTAGTAGCTTGAATAGAGTGACCTTAAATGAAGTGTGGTTGTAAACGGTGCTTCATTGAACATATTGCATGCGAACAAAGGGGACCGAATGAATATACGTTGTTAAGCTTTGATATTTCCCAGCAACTATTGTTTGATCGTGTCTCTCTTTTTCAATATTATGTGTGATGACTGTCTTTGCTACAACCCTGAATAAAAGTTTTTAGAAGCAGTTTGTTGCTCTTATTCTATATAATTTATTATCGTTACTACACTCATTTTTTTTATAAGAAACTGGCTATAAGAAACGATTACTGGACAGTCGGAATAAAGTTAGAAACTTCAGTACTCGAAGCAAAAAAATTGAGAAACTATTTAATCGTGATAAAGCTGAGAACAACGAAAATTTGTAAGATCTAAGAACATGATTGCGACACAAGCGATAAAATACACTTCCCACATCTAAATACATCATCAGAACGGTAGCGAATCTCTTGACGTGATAAAAAAGGTCACAAACATTTTATAAAATAGCATAATTTCATAACAGTAGAAACATCTTCTGTAATAGTTCCTAACATTAACTTAAATTTCTTCCTAGCATGAAAATTAAATATAAGGAACCCCAAATATAAAATTCATGACATCATAATTGAAAAGTTCTTAAGAAACAATGAGTTTTGAAATTTCCAGAACATTAAGAAACTGGAGTACTCAACATCGACCTTTGTATAAAAAAATGAGTGTATCAAGCTATTTGTTTCCACGACTCTTACTTTCACAGATTTTGTCTGTGGAAGTATTGTATTTTTTCAAAATTTCTAGCACTGGAGGCCAAAAAAATTCGGCGCAAGTAGCTTGCCCCAAAGAAAGAAATTAATTCCCAAATTTTCGTGTGTCTCTACCAACTGACTGCTAATTTTGCAGGGGCCACTTATCACACCCAGCAATCTCCACCAAGGAAATTTTCCGCCTTGTTTGACATCGTCTCAGTCTGTCAAATTTCAGAGAAATAGAATTTATAATGACTCGGTTTCTTACCTCTGTGCCTCTTAAATATGTCTTGTTTCATTTTTCACCGTCTAAGTATAGCATTACATTGATATTACAGAGTTAGCGCGCTTTTTTGTAAATGAATATCAACGATGTTGAATTCCACCTTTGAAAGCGTTTTCAGGCAGCACCGTGTATGCAGAGACATTTTGCTAAATTAATAAAAGCAAGCCAAAGCCAGTGGCCAGATATTTTTCACGCTATAACGGTCGAGTGGTCAAAAATAGCGACAATTATAGAACATTGCCAAACTAAAACGAAAATTGATGAAAACAAGTTGACAATCTATGAATCACTTCCGGCTGTTCAACCTCTGTTCAAAGGAAATATCTTGAAATTACGAGGAAAATTTATCGCAAGGAGGGCTGTTTCATATCTACAATGTCTTTTAAAACGTGCCCAGCAATGAAATTTGTGACTATTTTATCTTCTTTTTTTCCTTCAGGTTTAATGGCTCTTTTTCCAGCTTTATCCAATTTAGTCTCGAATTGTTTTAAGTAGCATTGGCATTTTCTTTAGAAGACAATCTACGAAAGTTATATCATTACCAAATACTTTTTATTTTTATTGGACACTGCTACAAGGCTGCAAATGTATTTCCCTGCGCTGAAGCTTCTTGACTGATTATCAAAATTAAGATTTCTCGAAAATGATACACTGAACAGTGATTAAACAACATCGAAGGAGTTATTCGAAATCATTTTGTGACTACTTGTATAAGAGACTGCTAAATAACCTTCCAAAGGTCGTGTCATGTTTCCTGAACTCCTGGCAACGAAAAATGCGATAAATGAACTTGAATGTTTCAGTTTTTCCTCTTTCCGTGAAATTCTTCCCAATTCTTCAGTTTCCCAGTTTCTGCCATTCAATTTGACTTCTCCCTCAGTATCACTTGAGTTACTTACTTTGAAGCACGTTATAACGTGAAATAAAAGGCAAATTGTTTGAGGTAAAATTGACAATTTTACCTTAATTTCAAGTTATATCGTCACATTTGATTGTACGACACACGAATCTTAATTGTTTGAAACATCTGTATGCTATTCTATTTTGGGCATAATATTTGTCACATTGATATGGTCACATTTTTTATTATGGAACTTCAGTCTGCCTGCCTTCTCATATCACCAATCCCATAACCCATCGGCCAATTTTTTATTAAATAAAATTTCAAAACCAGTTATTTATTTTCCACAGAACTGCCTTGGGATGAGCCAAGTGATAGATGCAAAGAATACATCGATTGGAAAGAAAACCGTTCGTATAACACACCATGGACAAAAATCGATACGATCCCTTTAGGTATGCGTATTCTATGCATGTTGGAATCAATTTAACTTTAATATTTTTGATCCTGCCTCAGTGTCATTGCAGCTTGGGATAAGGGGACTATAGCCTGTCCAGAGAAACTATGTCGTTAGATTCATCGTAACCTGCAATTTTAACCTGAAATTCATATAGAATTCAAATTAATAAATCAATTTCGACGGTAAGCTCTGTCGTAAAGTTTGACGAAACATACCGATTGAGTGAATCAGATTTAATATCGAAACTGATGGCAAAGACCATTTGGACGATAGCCGTGTTTTCAGTAACCTCTTCACTTAACTGCAGTTCCTTTTGGAACTTTTTTGAAAATAGGCTCTCTTTTTAATGTCAGTCCCTCTGATTACAGAAATTGTACCTTTTTCTTTTCTCGCTACGACCTGTTTGCATCACTGTCTGAATTCCTCACTTCTTTGTGCGTCGTATGTTGAGTGATGCAAAACATTCAGATCCATTTGTATTTGTAGGTTAAGGCATTGCCATGTTGTGGTGAACGTAAAATATCATTGTTTTTGCTAGAAAAATAATCATACGTAATACCAATAAAGATCAATAGGCACAAAATTTTCATGACATATTCTTTATTCTGTGTCCTCGAGCTTACCGTAATAATTGGATAAAGCCCCCTGTTGAATAAGCTCCTCCCGATTATGCTGTCAGATTTTGAAATAAGCAGCCAATCAATTTCAATCTGTTTTTACATCTTTGTGCACTTCTTTACAATTTAGCTGAAAATCTCTTTATCTAGTTAATTTATTATTAGCCCTTCAGAAAGGTTATCTTCTTATACCAGCTGTACGCATATTTAAAAACAGCCATTCCTGTGGAATTAGTACGAAGTCAAGTTTTTGTTTACATCAAGCACTGCTACTGACATTCATTCAGTATAAGATTATCGGTTAAAACTTCCTATCCACGCCTCATAAACACGGGCCTCTGGTTACCGATGCACAGCCCATTCAGTAAAACTGGACCTCGGAAACCGCATGAAAGCCGCCATTCACAGAGCTACAATCAGTTTGTAACACACCGTGTACATGGTTTCAATGACTCAGAGGATTAATATTCTATAGAAATAAAAGCGAAAATATATGATATAACGAGACAATTAAGCCGTGCCACGCCCAAGTTACTGAAATTCCGTTCATCATAGAATCCGTCGTTGCCTTCATTTTTTGGAACGACTTTTTCCCCTGAATTTGTATTCATCATGTAAACTGCTTTTTTCCTCTCCTGACGCCACTCTGTATCTCATAGCATTACTAAAGAAAATATTGCAACCAAACTCTGAAAAGAGATATACTATACCGCAAATTAAAAAAGACAAATGGTTTATGAGGTATGTTTTATACATACTGGAAAATTTTATCATATTCCAAATTTCTTCTTTTTATGAAAGACATGTTTTAGTCATCTTTTTTCAAATACTAGCTAAGATTTTGAATAGAATTCAACTGAACATCAACTTGCGAAAACTCTGCTATTTCTTATTAAATCTCAGTGAATGAAATGCCTTCATGTCCCTAGCAAGTTTGAAAGTTCAAGAAATCAATTAAGTTTATAAAATATATTTGTTTAAAATGTTAGATACTTTTATCAAAGAAAACTTACCAATCCAGCTTGCCTTGGGAACTAAAGCGAAACCACCGTCAGTAAATCAGAGTCTTTCTTTAAGATTTCAAACGAAACAAGGTCTTTGTGTAGTTACACAGATTTGATTTTGTTTGTTTACATTGTAGTCACAATTCGTCTTGTAATTAATTCGCAGATCTTTTAGTACCCTGAAAAGCAAGAGCCCTAGGGAAGGTAGGATACATCCTTTAATATTTCAATCAATTTGAAATTATTTGTAAGCAAATGTTTTAAATTTGTCTTTATCTCAGTTTAGTTAACGTTTTTCTTCACCAAATCAGCATCGACTCGTCGCTAAACTGTAGTTTGTTGGCTGAAGTCACACGTCTTCATCTGAAGGCTAAACTTTGATATAAAATGCCTTTTAATGTTCATGTGTGGTCTTGGGAACATCTTCCCGGTCCTTTATTTTGGCAAACAACATATCATTAGGTGTGTGGTCAATTTAGTGCATTCATAGAACTCCCCTTTCTGTATATTACAGAAGCCGTATTAAAAGTTACAAAGGCTAACTTTTGCATCTTTGCTGTTTAGATTCCATGTTTATGTTTTCTTTTCTTGGAGAACTGCAGTTGTTGGGTTCCATTTGTATGTACTTGAATTGTACGCGAGTGCAAGCTAGAACGGGACAGATTAGCATATCAGATAGTTTGAATGCTTAGAAATAAATAAAATCAATTTGGCTGCTCGCTGACAGTCTCTTCATATTTGAGGCAAATGTCACTGTCTTTGATCTTGTTTCTGATACACTCTTTTTTTTATAAGAACAATTTTATAAGAACACGAGCCTCAAAATGGGTCAAAATTTAAGAACAAATTAATAACAAGCTGAGGCTGAGCTACTGTAAAATGAAATTTTGAACAACGTTTTATCTCAAAAACGGGGATTTTCAGGCATGTGTGGGTGCTTTTTCGGTGAATAATAAAACATGGCGGCAAATTAAGTTTGTCTCTACGCACTTTGTTGGCGAAAGATGCCTGAACACCTCCCCAGAACGAAAAGCTAGAAATCGCACTGCTTATACCCTATAAATTTAAGAACAGATTAAGAACAATCCAGCCTCAGATTTTCGGAAAAATTAAGAACAATCAGCCTGAACTCAAATTTACAAAAGAAAGAGTGTAATCGAACTTTTAATCTAACTAGCAGTTATATTGATACTCGAAAATTATTAAATCTCATCTCGTTTTGGAATTTTAGGCCTGTCAAGTTGCCTGTCAAGTTGCACTCCTCCACAATGTTCTCAGGGCTTCAAGAGACACAGATCTGACCGAGATACAACACCCTCCTCGAAAAAATCACGGTATAAAATGTTCGATTTATCAATATCACAATATATAAATCTTTATACGTTCTGAAATATTAGTATTTTTAACATCAACACGAAAGACCTTCCTCTACATCTTGATATCCTAAGTTAACGAGTCTCAGAAAAATTGGGAGATGGTTGAACATCGTTGCCAAGATGTCGAAGCGATAGACTTTTTCTCTCTTGCTTTGATTTTTGGAGTGAATATATATGGTTCTGTAGCAGAGGTATTCATCTTTCTGTATTGGGTATAAATATTTCCTAACGTAGAGTTTTCGGTCTATGTTCTGACGTTTTAAACTCTGAAGAGTGTCAGACGAAAAACTTTAGTTTACTAAATGTTTGCTTTTTTCAAAGCCATTTTCAGGTTTTGTACCACCAAAAGATTCTTTCTGTATTATGCTATATTTTATTCTAGCAATGTTTTGTTATTTTCATTTTGCACCACTGAAAATTGATTATCTTTTAATAATAGTTTACGAATATCGAGCACCCAACCAGAACCACGGCTGCGGAATGACACTGGATACAACGACGAAGAAGATGATGATGGCGATAGAAAAAATGAATGGACGAATCTTTGCTTTTCCCAACCTCTTCACGTTGATGATCTCATACTGAGTCAAACACAAAGCACACCTGGGTCTTCACAGGTATCTTACTTGTTATTTCATCGTACCCTGTATTTTCAGAAGGATTGCTGTTTCCTATTTTGTGCTTCACGCTTGACACATAACTCTTCACTAGCATTCATGTGATCGAATTCTCAAGACATCCTGAAATGGAGACATTTTAACCACATTTCTAGCCACTCCCGAGCAAAAGACCAATTTTTGAAAGTTAAAAATATTTTCTTCCTGTTAAGTACTAGCCTTAAAATTTTCCTTAGTACCGTGGAAGCAGGGGGGGGGCTGTTGGGGCTTAAACTCCCCCAAAAATTATTTTAATGTACTTGTTACCAAAATGTACTTAAACCCTACAATAAGCCGGAGAAATCATGTTCATCCCACCGTCTAAATGCATTAGCCCCCTTAAAATGTAAGATGCTCCGTGGTTTCTTCAATTTCCTTATGAGTATAACATACCTTTGAGTGATTTTAGATTTTATGTGTCATGAAACAATATACAACAGAATATACTGATGAAAGGTTATCTTTTATCATAACTTTATGCATTTCAACACTGAACACTTAAATTTCTAAACTTACGAGACCAAATCAAGTTCACAATCCTCGTATATTTTAGCAAATGTTTTATTTCATATCAAATAATTCTAGAATCCTTCCCAATGAATTTTTTTCCTTTTGCTTAGAAACAAGTTCCTTCTTTCATTTTAGAACCCTATACAACATTTAGCAAAGCGGATGACTCGCTTCAGTGTCTCAAAATCATTCGAAGAATTTACAAAAAAGTTGCTTTGTTTGTTTGAAGATTTTAAATACAACTACAAAACATTGGCACACGGTCAGGTAAATTTCTCAGCTTTTGATTATTTCCTACTTTTGTTGTTGTTTATTATTTGTTTGTTATGAAATTTGAATGTTTTTTAAATACAACTACAAAACATTGGCACACGGTCAGGTAAATTTCTCAGCTTTTGATTATTTGCTACTCTTGTTGTTGTTTATTATTTGTTTGTTATGAAATTTGAATGTTTTTTAAATACAACTACAAAACATTGGCACACGGTCAGGTAAATTTCTCAGCTTTTGATTATTTCCTACTTTTGCTGTTGTTTATTATTTGTTTGTTATGAAATTTGAATGTTTTTTAAATACAACTACAAAACATTGGCACACGGTCAGGTAAATTTTTCAGCTTTTGATTATTTCCTACTTTTGTTGTTGTTTATTATTTGTTTGTTATGAAATTTGAATGTTTTTTAAATACAACTACAAAACATTGGCACACGGTCAGGTAAATTTCTCAGCTTTTGATTATTTGCTACTCTTGTTGTTGTTTATTATTTGTTGGTTATGAAATTTGAATATCTTTTCATTACTTTTTCATAGTGCAGCTTAAAACGATATCTTCATATGGGAGATTTTTGCCGCGATACGCGAAATATTGAGGCAAGCTTTGCCTGGAATTTTCTCTTGAATAATAACAGTTGCAAATCACACCAAAGGCAAAAAATACCCATTTTCAATGTTAAAAAATTAACGTAAAACCCAGTGGTAGCAAGTTGTTATTAATTGCTATATTTTGTAAATAAAACCATTTTCCTTGTAAGCACTTTTGTAAGCACATTTTCCTGTATTGTGATGGAAATCCTGCTGTAGATGTTCTTTGCAAGAGTAAATTCAGTGACTGCTCTTATATTCGTGCGATCAGCTCTTCCCCTTCACTCGGATGTTTGCAGGACCTGTCAATATTTGCGCGCTTTAACAAGTGCTTTTCATCGTTTCATTTCATTTCAAAAATCTAATAAGAGAAGCCCTTAAGAAGTGCTGATTTTCAAGCGGCCATTCATCAAGGAAAACCAGTTGCTATTTTCGTTCTTAATTTTAGATCAGCTTGTCCGTTCACCGGCTAAATACTATTGACTTTCTGCCTTCTAGAAAATCAACCCTAAATCTATGTAGCCTGCCTCTAGATCTTTAGAAATGACCCTGAAAAAGCAGAAAGGGTTTCTGTAAATTTGTTTTTAAGTGAAGATCTCGTCCAGTTTTTACTGTATTTGTCAAAATAGTGTGTGAAAGGCCGTTTTAGTTACTTTGTATAAAGAATATATTTTTTTCCGATACAGTTTAGATGTATTTCTAGCTCCCTACATTGAGAATATTTGCTTTTAATATGTTTAATAACCAAAAGTAACATCGTAACCATGTTATATGCATACTTTGAGTAGAAACATACATTCATACATGTCTAATTTCACCTCACTTTACTCTAACATAATGTAGCCTAATTACGGCTCATGCAGAAGTCGATTGAACTCGTTTTCACGAAAGACATTATCATATTGTAAAAAAGTGCATTGGAGTAAACTTATTCCACAGTAGGTTTGATACCAGAGTAATTGTGTTGAATGCAGCATGTATTGAAAGTTATCAAAAAGGGTACTTGACTCGTGCCACTACCATACAATTGGATTTATTTGGCAGTGAAGATTACGGTTTTGTAATATTTTTTATATTTATAAGAGAAGAGAGGCAGCCAGCACCTGGGGACAAGTAAACTGCCCTCTGTAGATAAGTGCCCGTTCTACTTGGATATTAGGAAATTCAGGAAATTATGGGATAGAATTATCAGAGGTTTCGTTGTTTTTCTGTTTTGGCAAATAATGCTCTCGCTGTTGTTTTCAAATTTTTGACATTCATTTTTCTTATTTCAGTTTTCTATTTCGACAATTGATCGACGCAGGAATCAGCTCTCATTCCGCATAAATCTGATCGACATGAACAGAAAACCGTTACTCGTTGACTTTAGGCATTGCAAGGTGAGTTGTTATGCTAAGAAAGTTGAATCCTGCATAATGGCAATCACCGTTTGTACTGCCGATGGGGAAGTTTTGTTATTCTACCGGCGTTGACGCTGTAGTGGGGAAATTGTTTCAACTTGATTTCTTTACATTATACCGGTTAACTTTCCAATTTTTACGAACAACCGTAAGAATACGAATCCGGATTCAGAAGCTACAGTACATAAGCATCGGTTTGTCCGCTACAGTGTAAATGCCATCTAAGTAAGACCGTAGGCCAACTATTTAGCATTAATGTCCATGCAAATTAAGCGTCTTTTGAATTCAGCCTGCAGCGACACAAGATAAGATTAACCACTCTTTTTAACCAATCTTGAATGTAGCTTCCTCTTTCTTCAGCAAAGAATGTTACGTGGCAACGTTTTTTAAAATGTAAAAGTGTCCTTGGTCCAAAAAGTAAAAACATTAAGAGTCACACACTTGTAATGTAAAAAGTTTATATGGTTTCAGAAATCCCTACACTTGAATACCGCCATCATTCACAACTGCTGCAGCCAAAGCATCATCATTAAGTAGATAAAGCAAGATGTTTAGTGTGCAATTGTGGAAGGTGTCTGTTCTTGGAAGAAGTTCGTTATTGGGAGGTACCCGTTATTGGATGATGTGGGATTATGGAAGATGTCCGTTAATTTTATTTCCTTTATGATGCATTTAACCGAATTCGCTGGGCCATGGTATCTCTATTGCTACCTGCAGTAAGTTATCCCAATACACACTAACAGAATGCTGAATTGCTTTTTACTCACACAAGGGAAAGGGAATTGCTATTGGTATTAACTTTCCAAATTCTTCATCTCTTTTGTAGTCCATGTTGCAGTGTTTGGAAGCTGGTTGATCTTTGAATGAATTTACATTTCTTTTTAGGGCGACGGGATCGAATTCAAAAGACAGTTTAGAAATCTGCGAGAAAAATTGTCAAAGTATATTGTTTAAAAAAAGGAAATGAAATGAAGCAGCTGGAAATGTATGCGTTTTGCAACAGAAAATACCAGAAGAGTAAAATGCAACTGTATTGGTTCTTTCAGTTGTTTATTGACAATGAAGTTTGTTGTTAAGCGGCTTTTGCCTCCTCCACCCTCTTTTCATTGGCAGCTGCTTGCTATCAGTACATAATGGATATACGAATTTGAGTTTGCCAATGAAGGAAGGCTTTTGTCACGGTAACAGTGGTCAAGAGGAAGTCCCAGATTGAAAATTGAAAGTTAAGGACCACCAAACAATCAATGCTAGTGATACTTTTAACAGAGACGCTCCATTAGACATTGCTGAGATGATGGGCCTAGTTTTTGACTGGCATGGCTATGTACTACTTATCGAATGGTCTCAGGCGAGCCCGAATACAGATCTTCCACAATCCAACCCTCCAGCTCTATCCTGTTTCCCATTTCTTTCTTAAGGTTATCGACACACAGTTGAACCCCGTTAATTCGGACATTCAAAGGTTGCAAGTCTGATCTAGCGATTATCTGGCTTACCCGGCGTACGCCTTGAGAGTAGCTTTTTGACTTGGATGAGGCAGGAAAATCCAATGGAAATGGAAAAGGTCTGAATTAGCGAAAGTCCGAGCAATCCAGTGTACGACTTAACAGGATTCAACTGTAGATCTGTTGATGTCTCTCTTATCTCTTATTGATTGCAACTTGTAATTCCTAGAGAACCAGCGTGCTTCCAGGTATGACATTTGCCTTGCTCGGGTATTTCTCATATATTCTATCATTCTAACATGAACTTTTGACCCATGCCAACAGTCGCTACATCCCCTCTCCTCAAGCCTCCTTGTGCGATAAATTTTTGATGCAAGTTATTCACAGAATGAATTTTGGCTCTAGATAGCTTTGGACGAGTGAAGTTGTATTTTGCAGTAAGAATGCTATCCCAAATTCTCTTATCAAATGCTGGTCCTTTTTACGACACTAAAGTCAGAAAACGGTACGGTTAGAATCACTTCACTTTTAACGTTTGTCTTATTAAAACCTCTCTTTCAGATGTTTTAGAATATTCCCCATCCAATTATACGACAAGTTATATTTAGCTTCTAAACACACCGATTGTTGCAGTCAACTCTTATCTGTTGAACCAGGTGTAGTTTCTGCTGTTTACATTTCAGTAGATGCGGAATCATTTTTAACATCTTCCATCAAATATTGTTGGTTTTAGGTTTAAGATATATTTAGTCACATGTTTTGTTGCTATGCTTCACTGTAACTTTAAAAAGAATCTGTATTAAATTGCAATTGGAATCTGATCCGTCGGTTTCTTTTATTATTTTCATTGTCCTCTTCGTCTAATGGGCGAAAAATATTCCTTAGATTAGCAGTGGTAGACTCGGAGGAGTAAAGGGGAAATTGTTGCGATTTTCAGATTCCTTAGAAAAAACAAATGTTGCCTAAATATCTTTTCTGTGGGTACTCTATGTCAACTCTATGTTAATTGATTTTATTCCGAATTTTGGCATGGTTGGCCCAAATATCCGTTCTGTGGGTGCTCTACTTCAGTTTTGTAAGAGATAGAAAGTCAACCTTTGCTTTTTTTGCGAATACTAACATGGTTTTTCGTTCAAGGAAAGTCAGTAACAGGTTTTCCACGCCTTTTTTTAAGAGATCTAGATTTAGGATAAATTCTAAAGATGTGAATGGAGGGCGAATAAACTTTTGATAATTCAAGGTTTGTGATAATGTTGACCCTTTGCAACCTTCCACGGAAACAATTCTTTAAAAAAACAAAATAGTTCTTTAAACAAACATTTCTTCCAAGTTTTACGGGAAGGGTGAATGGTTATCAACAAAAAGCGTATTGCGTGACGTTTTTCTCGTTGGTTTGCTCTAATGATAAAACCCAAGATCAAAAATTTCGAACTTTCCTTCATCCAAGCTTTCACAAATGGATTGCAAAAGGAAAGAGACTACATTAGACTTGGTGGGGGGGCCATAAGAGGAAAGAAAGGGGCACCTTTATGAGCGACAAGTAGGTACTCACCGTAAATCCTCGAATTGGCCCCCCCCTCCTCGAAAAAGCCCTCCCCTCGAATAAGCCCCCACTCTAAAACTACAAACTGTTAATAAGCTTCCCCTCGAATAAACCCCCACTGCTACCGTATATTCTCGAACTGCACCCCTAAATTGGACTGTTTTTGACATCTGAGGTTGCCTATGGCGTTTTATTGAATTACCACGACAAATTCGTACTTTTGGTAGTAATTTATTAAACGCTCATAAAGAAATTTCTACTAAAATAAACAAGGTATTTTAATAATGTCTTCTTATTGTCTACAATAATTTTATAAGGACCCCCACTCGTATAAGCCCCCCCTTCTCGAATAAGCCCCCGTTCAAAAAATATCAAAAATAAATAAGCCCCCAGGAGGCTAATTCGAGGACTTACGGTATCTCTTTTTCTAAAAAGTGAGCAGACACTAGCACCTTGTGCCCCTGGTCCTACATCTAAGGATGCCGGGACTTCTTTGGGAGTTGGGGGCTTTAGACGAGTTGGCGAATATTTAATCGTAATATCCAACCTTTATCATCTATGTCACAACTTTAATATCACACTTCAGCAAAAAAGTTTGGAGGGCTCCCTATAATATCATACACGACTCCATCACTGAAGACAATCGGCTATAAACAGGTTGTGCAAAGGCAGACTTCGTTTGAACATGCTTTCCAAAGAAGATCTCAAGGGATAAGATGAAGAACAAAACAATCCAGTCATAAGTAGCTTCTACATTCTGGACGGATTTTTAGAGCGATTCATAGATTATCGTCACTGTTTTTGTTGGTAAGTATCGTGTTCTTGCTTGTTAATATTCCAATATTCTTTATAAATTTTTTCCTACCTGTATTGTTACATTCATATTTGTTTAATACAAAATCGCTTGGTCTTAGTTTTTCGCTGCATGAAAATTGAGCTCTGCGGTGCACGATTATGATAATTGTACAAACTGACTCTCACTGCACGTTGAAGTAAACCCTACTAAGCTTTTTATTAAATACCCCCAAACCTAGGGCTTTATAGAGGCAAGGTTTGGCGTGGGGCGTTAGGTAGTGATTTGGCTTTATGCCACAGCCTTCCAGGTGCCTAGGAAACGCCCAATTGTACAATTCAATTTAATAAACTATAAGTTAAAAAAGATAAATAAAGTAAATTTTTGACGTCTTTTGATTAAAACTGGCTAGAAAAATTTGTTTACTGAATCGTAGCAATATTGACCAAATGACACAAAAATATCGGGGAAGCAGCACCAGCCCCCACACCTCTTTTGTATGTAAGTCCGTCAGTGCTCAGACAATAAATCACATTCCTCTATCTCTCTCCCTTTTTTATCTAAGCAAATCTCGTTTTCAGTAGGAGGTTGAATGACGATAGCTGGGACAACAGGACAAGTGGACAACATAACATCGAGTGGTCATGAAAACTGAAGAATGGAGTAAATCCTGAAAGTGCTACCGGTCTCCAAACTGACATAATTCATCAAAGATCTGATTAAATAAGGTTCGCCTTTTTACTTTGCTTAATCTCTCTACACTTACCATACAGTTTGTATTTCGTTAACGACTGATGATGGCTTAAGCTTTTAGGCCTAGGGCCTAGAGTGGTTTTTACTGATAGCTAATGCCTTCAATATACTGATAGTTAGCCCTGTCTCTTAACATATTTTTATTTATGCATGCTTTAAATACGTTCGAATAAAGTTTGAAATTCAATTGGAACTAAAAAATTGGAACGGTAACAAGGGACAATTATAGTTCTGGACAATCTTTTTTTAAAAACATGTAGAATTTCAAACAACATAGGACAGTGGGGCCGGGAAACCGCCTGGTTTCAGTGTCGTTCAGTTCATTCATTCATTCATTCATTCATTCATTCATTTTGAATTCCACTACATACAAAAACTCTAATATTAAACAACTTACAAATTATAATAAATTCATAAGACGATACACAGAATAGAACAAAAGATAAATGACACTACACTAGAGGTTTTGTACGAAAGGGGATTCATTAAAAAGAAACCTCTCTAAGTAGCAAAGCTAATCGAGGAGAGAGCAGCCCCTTTGTCGTAGGTAACATCTTTTCTAATTAAAAATATGGTATATAATATAAAGTAAAGTAAATTTTTTTGTTATATCTTAATGCTGTCTTATATTTGTATGTAACTGTTGTTGTCAAATTACAAAAATTTGAATGTAGGTCAACCTAGTCTAGTGTATATATAAACCTTTTTAAAAGGGGTAAACTTTTTTAAAATATTTCGATTTTTATACATGACTATCATATAACATACATGATTTTATTGGCATTGTGAGTCAATTGTGAGAGCAAGATATCTTGACTATGACATCTTGATATCCTTAACTGTAACTGCAAGCCTATGTAAGTTTTACAGCTTGGTGCAAACAAGATGCATGGTTACAGCCCATATTTAAAAATTCCTTGCAAAATTTTTCCAAATTTGTTTCTTTGGAATTGTTAGCTCAACAAGGCTTTAATCAATTAAAACTTAAAGTGTGATAGTCTGTCCGCTGTATCACCTTGTTCAATTTTTTTAGTTGACTTCTTTCGTTGGGATGTGATATGAGGAGATGCAGCAGTGAAGTGCTGTCAGATCAGAACAAAGTTGAGATTGATTATTTCTATTGAAAACAATATTGATAAAGCTGTCAAGAAAATGGCTCAAAAAGTTTATCTTGTGGAGCCAAAACCACTGACAATATCAAGGTTGGTATTCTCAAGGAAATATATTTATTTATCAGATTTTATTAGAGCATGTCCTTGTTACTTAGAAAAATATGTTAACAGTTTTTTGATGTTACATAACTTTAAAATAGCTTTGAAAAAAGCAAACATTTCACAACATATTAACTAAAAGCTTTTTCGTCTGACACTCCTCAGAGCATAAAATGTCAGAATAAGGGTCCGTAAGAACACGATGAAAAATATATACCCAGTTGTAGATCGAAATAGGCCAATCAGAAAAATGCAAGCACAAGACCGATCTAGTTGACCAATCAGTGCGTGACTAAAGAAAAATTACCACTGGAGTCCAAGAGAGAAAACAAACTCCTTCTGTTTACACAATGGCAGCTTTTTTGTTTGTATGTGCTTGCGTTTTTATGGTTGGCTTATTTCGATCCACAACTGGGTATATATTTTTCATTGTGTTCTTTCGGACCCTTATTCTGACATTTTATGCTCTGAGGAGTGTCAGATGAAAAAGCTTTTAGTTAATATGTTGTGAAATGTTCGCTTTTTTCAAAGCCATTAAAAATATATTAATGTCCTCTAAATAGGGCTTTCATTAGAAATTGTGTTCACAAGAGAGACTTGTGCCTGTGTTTTAGGTTAAGGAGATAAAAAAGATATACTACAAATATATGAGGAATCTTTCAAGGCTTTAGGAACATGTAATAGCTTTAATCCTTCTTTCTTGATATTTCGGCTCTTAATGTGCGATTATCCTTAGTTTGTAAACATAGTATTTGAGAACAACTGCCAATCCAAGAGAGTGAATGTTACACATAATTAACATTCTTTCACTATATGTTGTGCCGCTTGTGTGTGAGACAAAAATGAAATATAGAAATCTGGTTTTACATAATTTTGCAATGTTTGTGACATGTCTGATCTCTGTATTTGTGGGCAGCCAGACAACAAAGTATGCCAGAAAAGTGCACTTTTGTTGCTTACTGAAAACTGAAGGTTAAGTTTAATAATTTACTGAAAAAGTTATGAAAAAGATATTTGATACTTGTTTGTCCTCCCTATTAAAAAGGGACATCTGCCAATATTATTCTTAGATTAAGGGTTTGTACAAAACTTGCTCTGACCCTGGAAAAAGCTTTTTCTGTGCAAGGTTATTGTAAGTAATGGCTTGTGACAAAGCACTGAAACATTTATGATGATTTTGAGATAAAAATCCCAAATGAAGGGCTGTAAGAATCATAGAAGAATATGTTTTTCAATTGAGAGGATATCACATGCCAATGAAAGAAAAATTGCCCAGAAAAATATCACTTAAATTGATATTGTATTTATTAGCACATTTTGACATTGTTACAGTTTTTGTTTTCATTTGGTGTAAGCTTAACCTGAATTTTTAAGTATGCAAAAAGTTGATGATATTCTGCATCTGATACCATGTTAATTTCCATTACTTTAAGGTTTGCAAATAACATCATAACATATGAGCAAAAGAACACCAGAACAGCTCCCGGCAAAAATGACATTGGTAAGCTTCTCCAATGTTGTTTAGATTTCTCTGGCCAAAAGTTTCTTTTAGAGAACTTCCTTGTTAATTCTTTGCCTATTAGGTGTTAACATACATTTCTCAAATCTTTTTGAGTCCATATTTATCATTGCGATTCACAAGAAGGAGTTCCTGGTAGATTTGTGGAATACGCTGCATATATATCTGTTATTTTCATTGTTGCTTTGCAGAACTGATACTTGACTTACTACAGAATAATTTTTTCTCTAACTTTGATTCACAAAATTTAATTTTTTTATTGGAGAACATTTTAAAACATTTTCTATTTTGTTTTGGCTAACAATGTTTTGAGACCATGTATAACCCTGACAAATTATTTGTATATTTCAAGTTTGTTAAAATACTAAGTATTATGTAGTTAAAGGACATAGATAATGGAAACCTGTGTCAATTGATGCTGATTATTTGAAAGAAGTGTAAAAAGTTATAACAGAAAGGGATTTTGGAAAATAAACTGAGACAAAATGCGACCGAATGACACAACCAGGGCGGGGCAAGACAAGGCTTGGATTGAAAAGGCGATCAGGTAGCTCAGATGGTAGAACAACAATGTGCAGAGTCGCTGGTTGTAAGGCTATGTAAGATATAAGAGGTTCAATTTCATAGAAATTATCTTAAATAATTTTGTTTGATTTTCTTGATTACATTTTAGACACTGGCCATACAAATCAACTTGTACGGTCAGCTGGTGATGGAATGGAGTTTGAGGATAGTAATGATGTATCATCTTTGAGGAATACAGCAAAACGTTGGCCAGAAGCTAGGCCATTGGTTCCACTAGCAACTTCTACTCCAGCAGTTAACAAGGGCAAAAAAGTGAAACATCCTGTTGCATCTAGAAATGCAAAAGAGCTGGTAGGGAAAATGAAGAAGTCGGAAAGCATTTCTTTAGTAGATCAAAGAAACAGTAATAATGCAGATAAAGCAGACCTTGCTAAGGAGATTGAAACAATGAAGCTAAAGATAAAAGGCATGGAGGAAGCAAAAGAGAAGTTTATTGAAGAGAAAATGAAGATTTCCACTCAGCTTGGAATTCAAACACAGGTTTGTTTTATCACCTTTTTATCACCTGAGGATAGTTCTAAGAATTTTTATTTCTTTGTACTTAACAAGGTAATTGCCAATTTATTTTCCTGTTAGAAATTGAGGTAAAAATACATGTAAAGAATGCTATCTCTAGAATGATATATTGCTACTTTACACTTTTGCTTTAAACTTTCTCATTGTGCAAAACTAGAGCGAAGACTTCCCTGGGTACACTTTCTTGTCTCTGTTTAGAAAAGTGGCATGTGCAGCACAAAGAGTGTTTGTGGTTGCTAAAACTGTCAAATGTCAATTTGTTAAATCACCTATGTAATTTTCTTCTCAGCGAGCTTATAAAAACCTATAGACTTAAGCCTGTAATTTAGCCAAAATTCACCCTTTAACCCATAGGTAAACTCTGAACTCAAGACACTGTTGGTTGCTTCTGTTGGAGAGGATCTAGAAGAAAAGTAAGTACAGTCATTAACTGCTTGTAGCATTGTAATATGCAAGTATTTATATCTTTATTTATCTAATTTCAAGTTCAAGTTTTGATTTCTGAACGATATGTAACATTGTGTCAATCTTTGAACTGATGTGGTAATGTCTAGTGATTTTGTTGGTTGTATTTCGGCTTGCTTTTCAAGTGAAGGATCCTAATTCAAGTTTTATTATGCCATCAGAATGATCCAGACTTCAAAAGTTGCTTCAAAAGTTTTAGCTTTTTTCTCTCCATACTTTTGTATCAGTAGCTTCAATCCGATTTAAATAAGTTTAATTTATATTCTTGTTTGAATCAAAGGTTGGAGGCAATGTCAATGAAAAATGCTCTGACTCAGCGACAAGTTAAACATTTGCAAAGTCAGCTTGATGAAAAACACGACGAACTAGAAAGTGCAGTTATTCAATCTGATGTGTGGAGGAGCAAGTTTCTTGCGAGCAAGTAAGAAAGATTAGTTTTTTCTTTCGGATCCTTATTCTGACGTTTTTTACTTTGAGGAGTGTCAGACGAAAATTCTTTTAGTAGTATGTTGTGAAAAAAGGGTTTATTAAAAAGCGAAGAAAGAGCCCTACGGAAAAGGTATCAAAAAATTGAGAAAATGTAGGAAGATCAGATCAAAGGTCAAGTATGATACAAAAAGCAGCATTTCTTATCAAAGAAAAATATTATTTAAACGAGTTGAAATCTGAGTTACCCACCTGCCATTTGCTGCATTTTTTCAGCTTTAAGGATTTTACTCTCCCTCTTTTCTGCTATGTCTTCTCTGTTATCCGTGATTATAGAGTTTTAATTAATGGATATTAATTGTTCATCTCTAACCGAAGAGTGAAATATGGTCACAGTGGAATGCTTAAAGTATAAAACCTTAAGAGAATTTCGGGGCATAACTCCTGAATGTATGAAGAAAGTTTCATACATTTGGAAAAGAAAATATTGCTTGATTATTCTCAACAACGTATTCCGAGATGGCATATCCTTCATGCTTTGATTTATGATATTAATTGTTTATCTCTAACCGAAGAGTGAAATATTGTCACAGTTGAATGCTAGGTTCCATGACATGCATTCTAAAAAAGCAAACATTTAGTAAACTAAAGCTTTCCGTCTGACACTCTTCAGAGTTTAAAACGTCAGAACATAGACCGAAAACTCTACGATAGTAAATATATATACCCAGTTGTGGATCGAAAAAGGCCAATCAGAAACACGAACACATGACTGTTGGGGTTGACCAATCAGTGCCGCTTGCCTATTAGGCAGCACTTATTATCTGTTTTCATAAAAGAAATATTTCAGTATATCAACTTCTCCTGAAGAGCGAGTTATTCGCGAAACAGGCTTATAGAGATTAAGCATGTATATAGTTTTCTTTAACTATAATATAATATATATGTATTTGTATGATTTAAAGATTCATATATGATAATGATATGTATCAAACTAAAGAAAGGAAGAATAAGAAAGAAAGAAAAGAAATGCCCTCCCCGAGGAAGAGATATAGCTTCTGAATGCATTCACACCTTTTTGTTGGCAATTTTGTGCAGGATCTTCTCTTTTTTCATATTAGGGTAATGGCCGATGAGCTAGCAAGCTGGAAAGCACTTACAGATTCAAAGTACAGAGAATCAAATGCTGCACTCGAAACACTCCTTGAAGAACACAGGCAGCTCACAACTACCATTGCTTCTTCTAACAGGTAATCAAAATTACTGGGTAATTCTACAATACGTTTATTTATATAGAGCAAATTGTGATAACTTGACTTGGAAAGCAAGACAAAACAGATGGTTTGAAGTTGTAACCATGAGTAACATACAGTAAGATCACCAAGCGACCTCATGGAGCCCGAGGTTCAGAGGGGTTACAGCTGAAAACTACGTTGTTCTTCATGTATAGTTGTATTTGAGTAGGTCTATTGTGTTATTTTTGCATTAGGTTATATTAGCTTTTGGTGTAGTGAGACTAGAAATCTCGATTTATTCTTCAAGGACGTGGAATAAACTGCACATAACTGTCAGTTAAAGTTAACCAGTCGAAACCTGGAATTCCTGAAAAAATGTTTTCATGCTCTCCATTCACCTGCCTCTTGTGCTGATAACATTTCCAGAATAGAATCTTGCCATTTTGCAGACAGTCTATAGTCTTGTAGCTGCACGATTCTGTAACAGCTTCTTGCTTCTACAGATTTCTTCTGAAGTTGTCAACACTCACTAATTGCTATAGCGAGAAAGACGATCTTCCTGGACTGCCATCTTTGGATCTAGCAATCATAAATCATCGGTTAGCGAAGCGAATCACAGAGAGAGCAATAAACTATGGGACCAATACAGCCGAAAGGGCGCCGATTCATGAGATTTCTTCAAATCAAATACATGGCAAGGACAAGGACAAGGTTTTCGTCCAAGAAAAGCTGTATTTATCTCTGGGCGAGAAAAGAGCCTTAAGGGTGAGTTTTGAAAGCTGTGACATTTTTTCAAAGTTCCTAGGCATCACTTCGGGCTGATCAAGATTCACACGAAGCAACCCTAACACGATTTTCTCTTATTCCATTATCTCCTGGTCTAGTTCTAATGCACGTTTAGATCTTTAAGATTCGTAGTGTTTGTGAACTTATCGATTGTTTCTGAGAAGACTATACATTTAGTTTCACGATTGGCAATTCTGCTGAACTCGGCTATGGCTGCTAAACACGTCAACGTAAAGAGAAAATCACCTGTTTGCATTTTCTCAAAATCGTTTCCATACAAAGTTGTATTGGATACTTGCTCAAAGACATGAATTTTTGTAACTGCTGTTCCTGTTTTTGTCAAATTTTATGTAGGTAATATCCAGAAATCAGAAAATACTCCCATTTGAATGACTGATTCATGATGTGATCGATCTCAGAAGGTCTTTACATAAAACTGTGTTAAAGCTACGCAGTTAGAATTTTTTCTGCAGCATTTCTTCTTTTCCAAGTTCCATCTGTGAATGCCTTAAAATATTGTTTCTAAGTGCATCCGTTGAATGTTATCTGTTCAAGGCGGAGGGCCGTTTGCATTTGGTGTACATTGATAAATGATTTTGTTTTTTTCTAAGAGTTATTTTCATCTGTAATAAATTATAAGTTTATTTTTATCTGTGGTTATTTATTGGTTGTTTTGAAACTCAGAAATTTTTCAAACAGGCAATCGAGGATGCAAACAGCGAAAGCAGTCATATAGAAAAAAGGAAAAAGGATTTTCTGGCACACAATCGAATCAGTCAGATTCTAGCGACGAAATACCCAATGACATGTTTAGTTTGCAGAGGATGTAAAGGACCCTTAAAAACGGTATGATCAGAAAATTATAGTTTGTTTTTGTAGATTGATATACATTTTATTTTATTTACTTTCTTGCCTGGTGAGAACAGCTCGCGATAATTATCAGCTTGATCAACCATTAGAAATAGCAATGATTCAATTGATTCGTAAATGTTATTTCAAAAATTCAATTTTTGACCAGACTGAAGTGCTAAAGTCCTTTGAAAGCACTTCCATTAAACTCAATGATGTTAATAGTCGCTTATCAAAACACGCCGGCTGAAATTCTTCCGTCGGGCCTATCCACGACTTAATGTATTCTGACTGAACTTAGGTTTGTTTTATTTGAAAGCAACTATTAGTGTGTTGAATATTTGTTTTCAAGCCGCTTCCCTCTTTATTTTGCTTTGCTTTATTCCGATTGGGTTGTAGCAATAAAAACGTCACTAATTGAGAAACGAAATTAGTATTTTTAGTGTTGGAAAGAGATAAATGTGACGTATGTGTTGAGGAGATAAAATAGCAAGAAGTGAATTGAGTGTTTCCTTTCTTTTAACTTTTCTATTTTCCTATTCTAACAATAATTCGAAATTAGTAATTTGAGAAATGATTTTGATTCTTGCTAAATCTTGACAGGTATTACATTTGAAATACTCTTACCTTCAGTTTACGCTTCTTGGCAATAGAAATGTGTCAAGCTTATGTCTTGAGAAGACTACTTGATCTATTTTGCAGACGTAGTATTTTCAATACCTTCGATTTGTTATCTTTGACTTCTGTTTTTTAAGGTGCTTCATGCTCGGAGACATGTGTACATATGCAATCAGAATAAGGATATAATTTTGCAAAGATGCAATAGAAAAGTTGGCTGGCGATATTGCCATCTGTAACGATTAAGTAACGTAATCCCCATCCTAAGATTTTTTAGAGAATCCAACTACCTTTAATCCGGGTGCCTTTGCAACTTTCATAACGAAGATAAAATTAGAATTTGCAGTTTTAAGTTGTGTGCGACGTGTGGATATTTTAAATTTACTTTCAAATACAATGTTGCATGGAATGACTTGGCCTTAAAAGCTGTACAGAAATCGATAAGCTGTACAGAACCTCTTAATCAGAGGTCAAATTTTTTTGATAACACAAATCTTTAGATGTATTGAAGGATTCCTACACTACTTTCGGTAATGTTTCATGATAAGGACATTTCCCTCACTTTTTACTTACAGGTTGATCTTTTCTTTTTGGACAGGAGATCCCCACATTTTTTCATTCAAAATAACGTAATAAGGTACATTTGGGACTGTCGTTGCGAAACACACACTTCTCTTGGTAAACAATTTTGTTGCCAAGAGGAGTGTGCTTCTTGCAATTAGAAGATAAATTCAAATTTGAACGATTGTTACCTTCTCGTGTTTCCTGTTCTGGCTTCCTGCTTTCCTATATTTGTTTTTTCCTTGGCTACCTAAGTTGACAATAACACTAGTATCAAAACTATATTACTTTGTCTGTTGGTGTGATGGTCTCTCTGATGTTGCATCTAACATTTTTTTTTTTATTCATCTTCACAATAAAAAGGAAAGGACACAGTTGCGAGCCTTGAGGAGTATCAGTGAATTTCTCTGAACTTTTATTTCTATTTTGACTATCAATTTTAATTGATAATAAAAAGATGAAACAGATTTAACTGTAATCGATGAAGTTGTGAGCCTTGTGGAGTATCAGTTTCTTTGTGTTACTCTATACTTTTAGTACCATTATTACTTTTAATTAGATTTGTTTTTAAAGTTTGTCGAATGTTAAATCCACATGGCTGCAAGGTCAGACTGGTTGTAATGGTATTTCCGTGTGACAGTCTTCTTCGGGAGATTTATTTTTAGATTATGAGCAACAGTGAGTTATAGTCAGGGCTACATTCCGAATACAATGGAGACGTCAAGTATATATTATTTGTTTAAAAATGCAGCTGCATCGATCAGAAATTAATGAATCAATAGAAATTTTGATAGCAGGAAGAACTTCCGTTGTTTGCAGTTATCTTAAACAGATCGAGCAGATGTCCTATGTTTGTCAAACCTCTTTGCCAATACTGTTTGTGATATTTTTGCGAAATCCAATTTTTGCTACTCAGCCGATATTCAATGGCCTACTTAAAAGTTAAGCCAGAGGCCAAAGTGCAAATTACAATTTTTAGTTCTGATGTGCTAAAAATAACTTAGCTTTCATATCGAGTCTTTAGATTTTACCTTTCAGGTACCAAAAAGGAATGGACCTGCTTTAAAACCAACATACTACGGATATTATATGAACAAACGTATAAACCCATAGACTTATTGACGTATAGATTATTATATGAACCAATGTTGTAAGGGGGATCCATTATCTACAAGCAACTCTGCGTTTCCCCCGCTCAACCCCCCGCAAAAAGGTCTTTCGTCACCAACAAGAATAAACGCAAGTAAGAAACAGTGCTTATCGTCTGGAGGTTATTAAAATAGTTTTACTGTCTCTTTTTTTCATTATGTCATTTTAAATTTGCCTATACTGACTGATGCTGTCTGCCTTAAATTTACTCCTGCTCTAGAGCCGCCTGCCCTAGGGCCACCGGCCCGGAGCCGCCAGCGATTCCCCGTCGATGTTTCGTTGTTTACTAATACCTTATCCATGTTGTTGTTTGTTCATATATACAAGAATCACTTTCCAACTAAAATACGAAACAAAGCAAACACCATAAATTGGAATTGGCAGCTAAAGTTTTTGACCTGAGGATTCTATGAGAAAGGTTGCCAGAGTAGACTGACCTTTTTGAATGTGCAACCTGTCGTTGATTGAAAACCGAGATTACTTGCCAAATGGGTGCCTGTTCTTCTATGCATCTTGTAATAATAGTCAAATTGAAGTATTGATTAAGACTGAATCAAAGTGTCATATAGAAACGACATATTTCCTTATAACCTACAATAGAGTTGCTGAGTTCATTTATTCATTGGTACTGCTTTAATTAATATTCTTTGAAACTGGAGGGAAGAAGATCTCGCTCGGCAACGCGGGTGTGCGACGGTTCTCAAGATGTTCGGCATTTTTATTGCAGTATGTAACTGAAATTTGGCGTCAACAGAGGGAGGCTACTGAAGAATATGTTTTTTGATGTGGTCAAAAACTGAGTGAAAAAGACAGAGATACTGCCGCGGAATTTATTCATGCCTAACCATCGAAACTAGATGGTATTCGGTGTTCCTGTTTGAAAATTTGTAATATTTTCACGATTTACACAATTAAAAATTGATTCGAAGCTGGTTGAAAGAGGAAATATATTGGCTCGTGAACACAAACTCAAAGTGACTTGCATAAAAAAGGACCTTTCCCGGTAAGTGAGATTTCATTATCTTTGAATTTTCAAACAGTGTTAGTTTGTTTGCTGGAAATTTTCAACACTGTCAGGTTGTTCGCAAGATACCATTGATATTTCTAGAAAAGAGCAGAGAAACTCGGCTGCGTTTTGATCGAGATGGGTGTCAAATACAATTTTTGGTAGTATTTGCACAACACAGCAGGCAGTCCTTGGTGTGGTATACAGACTGCTTTCTGCAGGTAAAATCTAAAACTATGCATGATTCACCTCTCTGTTTTTGGGGCTATTCTTTAATACACGCTTAATACCATAAAAGTATGGAAATTACAAAATGAAATCCGTTTCATAAATATCAATTTACCCAGCTCAGTTTCTTACAAATTTTTTGTTGTTAAAGCTGTGTTTTTCCATATGTTGCTTCACCAGTTAGTTATAAATTTTATTTCATCAAGTAAAATGCATATAGTTCTGGTTATTTTATATCATGATTACATTTTTCATGACTCTATAATCATTTAGTTAGTAATTCTCATAGCAAATTATAAATATCATTGGATCTTTTAGTTCTTTTCGCTATAGATGTCATTTTGCTATGCCTGTTAACGCATAGTATCATTGCACAGGAGATGTTGTCAGTTGAAATGCAATTTATTGACAGACCAAATTTTAAGACAAAATTTTGAGTCCTTTGCTTATAATTTCTGACTGCATTATCAATGTCTCATAAAATTATCTTTTCCTAAAAATGCTTTCTGGGACCTGAATAATTTATTGAAAAACCTTGGGCAATGATTTTGAAACTTGAAAGCCTTTGGGTCGAAGAATCTTGGACAGCTCTCAGTGTAAAGTCCAGAAACATTGACAATCGCACAAACAACGTTCTGTAGACGGTTACCAAGTACAAGAGGTTTCGTAGTCACACCTAGACCCCCCCCCCATTCGTTGTTTTCAGGAAGGTATTCTGAATTTGGCTTATAGGGTACAGAAAGGATAAGAATTTTTATGGATGAATGGCTAAATGCTGAAAATTTCTCGATTTTTTATGAAAATTGGGTATTCTAGAGTTTCTTATTTGCGTAAGCTTGGGCTGACAGAAAATCGTTGTACACTCGCTTTTATACAAGAACAATTTCATAAAAAACGAGCCAATAAATTTTCAAAAGTTGAGAAAAAAACCGAGTCTTAATTACTGCTAATTGCATTTTGAACAAAGTTGGTTTATTTATGTTTTCCAATAATGGAAAAAATAAGAACAGCCAGCCCTAGCCTCAATTTACTGGTTCTTGTAAAAAGGGAGTCAACGAATCCAGTCTTATCATATCAGTCCTGTGCTCAGTTTTGTATTGATGCTGAAAATTTGTTGGGTTTGAGGAAGTATGATAAAAAAGACCAGGTTCTAAACATACCTGTGTATGTCAAAGAGTTTTTTAATTCTGGCAGCCCAAAAGCTGACTTTGATATCACATTTGTTGCAAAACCTGTGTGTACTTTGATTTTAGTTGAATTTGACAATCTCTCAAAAAATGTGACAATCATCATCAAAAGTGCCAACTTACCTTTACAATTTATCCATATTGCATTAGTAAATGGTAGAGTATCCGATAAAGATGCTAGAAAACCTCTGCCCTTAAGTGAGTTTTTACTGCTTATGGCAAAAGGAAGTAATTTTCAAACGGATTTGATTCCCATTTATTATTTGATTTGAGCCGCTGCTTCAAGTTTTTATTCCCATTGCTAATTAAAATGGATATAAACAGTTCTTGCACAGAAAGTTTGCGTCAATAATTTCAGTGCCTTTATCTAACTGCGTTGGAGCAAAACAGAACCGTAAGGCAGTAGAGGAAAGCCCATAATTGTAATTAAAAGCTCTTTACTGGTGTGCAATTTGGCGTCGAGTCATTCTACAGAAGACTGTTTGCTTTTTTTACAATTTTACATAAGGTCAAATAACCAAATAAAAACGGTAGATATTTTGATGCAGAATCAATTAATGCCCGATCGTCGAAACTAGGCTATACTTTATGTTCCTGTTTGAAAATTCGTAACATTTCACAATTTACACAATTAAAAATTTATTCGAAGCTGTTGGAAAGAGGAAATGAACTGGCTCGAGAGCACAAACTGAAAGTGACTTTCAGAAAAAGAACTTCTGTTTGCTTTTAACATGTGAAATCTAACTAAAGTGGAATTGTGAAATGTTTATGTTTTGATGAAAATTTCTTGATTGGAAGATATAATTGTATATGGAATTTTTCTTGTGAAATTTTGAGTTGGAAAACCTTTCACTGCCGCTTTTTCTTGCAATCATGCAAAAAGGTTATTTGATGTAAAAAATGTGCACACCTTCACAATTCTTACTATGAATCTTTCTGATGTTGCTGTCAACATGGCTAGCACCACCTTTATACCCAGTTCCTATCAAAACTAAACCGAATTTTGCAAGTTATTGGAAAAAACCTTGAATTTCAACGAGTCTGCAAGCTGATTCAATATCCTTGGAAGCATTTAAGGCGGCCCTTATCATATATTTAGAAGCGTTAGTACTGGCTTTTACTTAATAACATATGATAAGAAAATCCTTTTAATACCGCCGTCAATCAAATTAGTCTATAATCTTGCTGGTAGACCAGATAAGAGCGTGGAAGGGTTTATGACTGTTGCACGTTGCCTGATAAAGTAACACTATTCTGGTGTAGAATTTTTATCTTCTTATAAAGAAATCTATTCAATATCAAGATGCATTCTTCTGAGCACGTTTTTGCTTTTTGGAAGCTGCAAAGAAAGCAAATTGCGATAGGAGAACTACTGTTAAGCTATTTGTCACACCCCTAAGTCTCTAATTTCCCTTGGAGCTTTCTAGATAAATGTTAATTAAATGCATCCATTTTATCTTGCTTTGGGTGGAAATTAAGTAGCAGTGAGGGGGAAAGTGGGCGTAAAAGGAAGGAAATTGAAAAGTGTTTTTGTCGCCTTTTGTTTAGATGAAATTTGTTAATGCAATTGGAATTTACCCGCACTTATATAAAGCTGTGTAAATAAAGCTTGTGGGTCCACTTTTTGTAATTTTCTTACAACATGCTAGGTCATTTCTTATTCTCTTTCAATTGACGTAATAAGGAACTACCGCCCTTTCTTGCAATCCGGAAATAAAAGATAGTTTTGCTGTAGAATAATGTGCATAACTTTATTGCAAGAATTTTTGCGAAATTGATTCAGAAAATACTTATTTTTTTAACTGTTTCAAAGTTGGCCCTGAGTTTTTTAAACTTTTGCAGGTTGTTAACAAATTGTGGTAATTTAACAGACCATTTCAGATAAGGTTCTTGACAGAAATCTTCCTTGTGGTGCTGGAAAGCCAACAGACTATTAATGCGAGCTTTTATGTTGATGATTTTTTACTCTATTCTTTCTTGAAAGGTGCTGGATGGCTTGAAAGGTTTGGAAATCCATTCCAAGTGATTTACTGATCACAATTCTCAACACAATGAAGCCTTTCTACTGCTTCCTGGTGGTAACATATGTCAGTAACTTTGCTATTGGGTTCATTGGCAATATACTGGTGTTGGTCTATCTCTACGACTCGTTAAAGAAATCAAACCAGTTCAACAAAAGTCTTGCATATATCCTGATCAATCTTGCCGTCGTTGATATATTAACGGAAATATTTGGAACCGTTGGTGTTCTTTTAGAGTATGAAGTGATGAAGCACCCAAGCGGTCTCTTTGGGGATATGGTATGCAAAACCATCACATCTCACACTTTGACTTGGTCTTTTACCAACATATCTGTCCTGACAGTTGTTTTACTTGCTTGGGAGAGATACCGAGCTGTCACCCAATTCAAGTCTAAGGCTGCAAGCAATTTAGATGAAACGAACTATGTCAAATACCTATTAGCCTCCTTTTGGATTGTTGGCCCGGGTATGTACTCGCCTTTCATTCCGTTTCAAATCTACAGCGAGGCTGACGGATGTGTTGAGAAGTTCACAAACGATGTTGCAAAATATGTGATCAGTCTGATGGATATCACTTGTTTTTATGTCCTTCCTTCAATATTCTTCCTGTTTTCATACACAAGCATTGTGAAATCACTGAAGAAGCCTCCAAAGTATATGAGTGATCGTCGACAGAAGCAGTTCTCGTACAATAAAGTGCGTCGCAAGTTGACACGAACTGCTATGTTGATAGTTGCTGGTTTTTTCCTCTGCTGGAGCGGGGCCTACATCATCTATACTGTCCAAGTTATCGGCAATATAGACACTGTGGCAGTGGATACAGCATTTGAAGCTTCGCTTATATTGGCCTATTTCGCATCGACATCGCATCCAATAATCTACTCGTTTCGAAGTAAGCATTTTCGCGACAAGGTCAAGGAGATTTTTTCGAAAGTCAATCTCTGTCATTGCAAGGAAGATCTGTGCTGGCGAACATGCAAAGTTGAACCTGTTACGAACCCATATGTTGTGAGGAGTACAGAAGAAACGATTCAAGTTGAATCTCGCGATGACGAAGTTGTTGAAGATTCGAAGGGTGAAGACCATTTGAGTCAGTAACAATCGAAATAAAATAATTTGTAACAGTGGTACTGCTATAGCTCTGTTTGCGCCAGATCGGTTGTAGTTCTTGAGAAACTATCACTCTTTCGTTAATGGCTTTCGGCTTAACTTATATTTGCATTTTCGTAAGTCGAAGAGGCAATCTCAAAACAGTTTCTATTTCCGATCGTTTTTAAAAACAGATTGGCTACCCTTTGGAAATATGTTATTAAGATCCGCACATAAAAGATCATAACATTTGTATCTTAGAGTGTTTAGATAGGGCCAATCCTGCAGGTTTATTACCCAATTAAAATGTCTAGGATAGAACTTGTGTCTATTACTTATATTATACTGACCTTTGTGCCTGACGCGTTATGTTGATGACAACTTTAACGTTTTGTTCCAAGAAGCGATCTGAAAATTTTTTTGGTATCCTTATTATTTTATTCCTGCTGAAAAAATATCTTAATATGACATAGCCCGTATTTCATATTCTAAATGAAAAGTGCCCTTTTGTATGTCATAGTATTTCTGCCTACCTGTACGGGCCCCAACAAATTTGAAATGCTTCCTGGCGTCCCCGAATCGTTTCTATGAGTGGTGAAGCCTAGGAAAGTTAAGGTATGCCCATATCCGATAAATTGGGGCTGGTTGAAAGAGATATTAAGTGAAAAGGGAAATTTCAGGTCACCCTTTCCCCAATTAGTGTTCTCATCTGAAAATTCCGTCTTTCGTTGGATAATTGACAAATGTTTAACATTCTGAAAGTTCTTTCCTGGATGATATATTGCTGGACAATCATAGCCCTGAACCCAACACGCCCCTTGTGAAAGCCTGAATTTCCGCCACTGGGTGGAATTATATAAAATAATCAAAATTTTTTTTTTCTACTTCAAGCGGTGGATGCCTAATAAGCAATCGTGTTACACCTGTATGCTAATCTTCCTGTTTCACATTGTTGAAATGCTACTAAGAGTTCTGTAACTGCGCGGAGAATATCTGGTCATTTATTTCCTTAGTAAAACCTTTCTCTTTCTTTTGTATGAAACTGTACATATCTGTCCTTAAAAATGTAAGATTACTGCTGTTGAGCCTCAGTCTCAAATACAGTCATCTCCAATCAACGTTGACAAAATTTCCACGTAGAAAAAAGTTTGAGAAAGTAGGGCTGAGTTGTTAATGCGAGCTGAAATTGAACTCTATGCACTACGACACTTAGGCAAAGCATGGAAATTTGGATTTCAATGAGGGATGAGACACAATGATTTTCTTGCATGGCCCTGAAAATTGCATTCTATAGCCTCTTGACTTGGTGATCAAGTATAGAAAGGAATCAATATGAGCTGAAGATTCCTTGTGCACGGTTTGGTGCATACACAAATCTCTCAAAATCTTCTATACGACGCAAAAAATGTGTAATCTTGACAAGTGTGCAAATAATGTCTGGAATTGAAATAGTATGCAAATTGCAAGCAATGCAAAGAAAATTGTCTTGATAATTCGATGCAAGTTAGGTATGGGAAACTCTTATTTTGACAGAAAAAGACAATTCTGCCTGAAGGGAAGAGCGACGAGTGACAAAGGAGTAGAGAACAAAGAGAAGGGAAGAGGGAAAAGGGAAGAACAAGGAGGGAACAGGGAAGAGGGAGGAGGGAAGAGGGAAGAGGGAGGAAGGAACAGGGAGACTAGGGAATAGGGAACAGAAAACAAGGAACAGAGAACGGGGAACAGGAAACAGAGAACAGGGAACAAAAGTATCTCATAAAAGTGTGTGTTATCTGTTTAATTCCACTACATAATAGATACGGGAAGAGGGAAGTGCAGAATACACGAAGGAGGTCAAGAAGTATAAGGAGGTCCAAACCTTTAGAAAACATAAGTATCGTCTTTTAAGATGCATGTTTTTCCACGTGATAGACACTTTCCATTTGTTTCTTATAACAATTTCTTCACGAGATACTGAGCTTTGGATCTCGCATATAGAATATTTCCAATAAAACCATTGCCAGAAAGATTCTTTTTCTTCTAAAGGAAAACAATTTGGTCAAAATGTTTCGAGTGCAAGTACGGTATATGGTCACGGCCAAAACTGTCATTTTTTGAATATTAATTTGTGACTTGTCATCCTCAAATAAACATCAAAACTCTATTCAACCAAAATAATTGAATTCTCGTCAGCTGATGAGCCTCTGTGCTGCGAGCATATGTAAGTTGGTTTACTATGAAAATCTTTAGACATTCATACTCTTCTCACAATATAAGACCCGAGTGAAAGCCCAACCAAACTTTCACCCCACCCCACCCCCAATTCCCCTTTTTTGCTTAAGGCATTTCGCCTTCCAGTACGAGAATATATTTCTATATAAGGTAGCAGGGGCGTAGCTAGCGGTAGGTGTAGGGGGTGTGACACCCCCAGTTCTTTATGAGATATTTGGTAAATCTTCGGTTGTTCCGCAAAATCCTTAGCTTGTCGGTGAAACCATTTATTGGTAGGCGAAACACGTTAATTTTTCTTTATCTATGTCTTCGTTGGTAGATTTTACTATTGATGGTCCTGCTCCCCCTTTTCTGGCAGGTCGAGCTACAAAATTGTATAGTTGCTATTGTTGTGAAAACTGTTTTTCTGCATCATTCGATAATCTTTTCAGGCTATTTTATCAAATTATCACTTATCGTGCTTACAATATCATAATGCGTTTTAAAAAAGTATCATCTTATGGAAAATTTTATTTCTCTTTCGTTGAAATAGTGCTGTTACTAAAAAATCCAAGTTCTCCGTGAAACTTTCACCAAAAAATCTTAGTCAGTTTCATAATTTTGACAGAGAATTCACAAGCTTTCCCTTCAAGAAAGATTCGCTAAATCCCTAATAAACAGCAGAGCTTCAGTCTGAGGTTTCCCATTACAATGCTTTAACAAATTAACCCTCATTCGATTTGGTATCCACGATTTACTTCATCCTGAATCAAAGAATGTAGGTATGACGTAGTCACGGCTCGTTTACATAACAGCTCTCCGGGCTGCCTTCTTTCACATGTGGTGGGCAATTTATGCCAGTTTTCCTAAATATAGAATTTAATTAAGGACAGCTCGGCTTCTGCGATTATTATAATCTTTTGTGTCTGTGGTGGCAATGCTAAAATTATTTTGTTGTTGTCCCATTCTATACATACATTGCCTCTTCCCACCCTTCTGCGATTTGCGTACGTTGAAATCGAGGGATTATATTTTGCGAGTTGCGAGTTACCAGTTGCGAGTTGGTTTTTCATCATGTCTTCATAAAGGTTGATGTAAATACACTGTCAAAAATTTAAATATTATACTGCATTAAAACTGACAATATTCAACCAGCTTTACCTTAACGATTTAAAATTTTTTAACCAATCCAATGTATTCGATTTGTTGGACTGACCAATAAGAAAGCGCCATTCATTATCTTGGTTTAGTTTAAGTCGGTTTAACTAGCACCTGTATGTGTGCATGTCAGAAGGGAGTTTTACTCAGATAGCTGTACCATGCTTTTGCCAGTTGATAGAAATTTCCGTTGCTAATTTTCTTGTTGTTTTGTTCTAAATTTAGTGGCGTTACGTTCAGCCTGGTCTATAAAACCCATTCGTTATATTTATAACTTTGCGTTAATTTTTGAATTTTTTTAACTGATGTAGATTTCTATATGTTTTTCAATTTTGTTTATGTTGCAGATAAGATTTCTATATGTTTTTCAATTCTGTTTATGTTGGTGAGACAAGCCGACATTTGTCCACCCGCTTGCGTGAGCATCTGTATACTGATAAACATCTTAAGAGTTTTGATAAATGTAGAAATGTAGGAACGTGTTGACCAATGAGAAAACGCTAAAATTCTACCGTCGCTGTTTTTTCATTGAACAACCTCATTGCACATGAGAAAAAACAGTGGGGCCCAAATTATTAGGAATTAGATGTTTATGTTAGTCTTTTACTGGCATTATGGTTGGCTATTTAATAGGTCGCGTGAAGGATGCAGAACAACATCCTTCAGTATTCGTCCTTAGGTTTAAGTGAATGATTTCTTCAGAGTTTAGCCAAACGTTCCACAAGGACCTGTCCTCGAGACGCTTTCGTTTAAAAATGATGCAGAACTTTGTAGCTACGCTGGTATTTTTTATCTGTGATTCTATTAATCAGAATACAATACCAACAAACTCTAGCATCAAGCACAGTAAAAGCAGTTGAACTAGAGAAAACCACATGTAGCTAGCGCAATAAAATGTCGCTGAATGAGGTTTCGAGAGGAACCAAGCCAATCAAATGCGGCAATCTTCCGATCACGTCACTTTCGATACACACCAGTCCATGCTTCATACTCTGAGCGCCGTCGAGAGAAAATAGTTTTAAAGCGTCTTTCTTGCCTTAACCTGTCATCATCTTTTATTTCTAATCGGATGGAATCCTTTTAGCAGATAAATTTGCTCAGAAACTCTTACGAATATTATCATATTTTCATGAAATTTTAATGTTTAATTAGTAAAACATTGTTTCCATTTTCTGCTTATTTTTCCCGGTGTCAATTGTCAATTGTCGAAGCATGCATAGAAAATTTTAAGTTTTTGCATACGAAGTTATTCCGAATAGCAAGTAAAATGCAATATGGACAAAAAAATATTTTCGTATAGATTTTCGGTTGCAAATATTGTGTAACAGAGTTTCTGACAACTTATCAGAGTATCGTCGCGACAAAATTTCGTTTTGTATTTGAAATCTTCCGACAGAGGGGTTGGAGCTTCCGTCAGGAAGGCTAAAATGACTAAAATAAGCAGTTTTCGTACGTTATTTTGTCAAATTTGCTCCAAGAAAAACCTAAAATTTCCTCCGATGGGGGGCTAGATGTTTCCGATGGAGGGGCTGTAGGCCCCTTAGCCTCCTTAGCCCTCCCCTGGCACCACCACTGTGTGTATCCTTAACGCAAAAAATATAAGCACATGCAACCAAAATTGTAAGGACCAGAGATTTACAATTTTGTAGGCGTTCAAATCTGCCCAAATTAGCAAACTCGTCATTTTATGGGGGATGCTTGATGAAAGGCTCCTCCATAGTCAATGGCTCCTCTAAGCACCGCGCACCATTCCAAAAGTGGGTGTGAAACTGAAAGGGGAGCTAATAGCTTTAGGACCATTAAACACCAAGCTAACCAAGTTAGAAAACACAGCATATCATTATACAAGATATAACAACAAGGAAAATGAACAGAAATGCTTGTCCCTTGAAAATTTCAGTATTTCTTTTTCTGTGAAGGGCAATTCTGGGCAGTTCAAGACACTAAGCTACATTGTCAATGTAAGAAAGTGATTTAGTCGAGGTGCTCCAATGCTCTCACTTTATTCCTACAATGATTCTTTGTTAAAATTAAGTCAAAATCTTCAGGTAACAATCAACTGCACTGAAAAAATTTACCTGACTGTGAAATAGAAAATATACCAGTTATCTAATCTGTTTTTTCTTTCCCAACCAGTGGGTTTTTTTCTGGTATCTCCAAAGAATGCTTTGTAGTATATATAAAAAAACGCACAGATGTCTGATAAAAATTAAGTCTCAATTTTTTAGAATTAACATTGTGAGTTTTAAGTTTTGATAATTTTGCTGATATTTTGTCAGATTTGGAGCTTTTGTGTTGTGATTACAGGATAAAAAACACGGTAAAAACAAACGCTCTTAAAACGGAAAGATATGAAAGCTTTAGTGCTTTAAGTCAAAATTTTTGTAAGCCAGTACAAAGTAATTTGCCATTTTCTTTTAACAAAATTTAAACTGTTGGAATATAAATGTAAAACTTGTAAAAAAGAAAATTTTTCGAGCTGAAACTGTAAAAAGGTGATCAGTGGCGTAGCGTGACCTTTCTCGCTGGATGGTGTGAGAGAGATGCAAAACCATATTTTACCAACAGAAATTTATTTGTTACAGTTGGCATAAATTCTTTTGTTAAAAATGTAAATCTACCGACGAGTTCTCTGAAAATTAGGGGTGTGACACCACCACCATACCCCTCACTCCACCCCCCCCCCAAAGCCCCCCGCACGCTACGCCCCTGAAGGTGATGACATGTGCTTGGGAAGTCAGTATGGGTGAATCCCAAGAAGGAACTTATTGTGGAAACGAAACGGACAGAGTTCCATTAGAGCATGACTCTTAATCGTGGCTAAGGAGATTATAGTGTAGACAGGTTTGTGATAGTTTCTGTTGGTCATGTACTTTAAGAAGACCCTTGCAAGGCTGCGAAGTTGCAGAAGAAAGTTACAGATAATTTACAAATGAAAAAGGCCGTCAGAAAAGTTTACTTTATGCTTAATTTAAAATTTGTTTATTCAATAATTTTATAATTCTTATTGTTATTAGTCTTATCCAATATTTAAGATATGATCAAGTTTTATATTTGGTAAATGACACTGAGATCCGCAATTATGATGATGATACTACCACAGAATAGATTCTGTTAATAGATTCTGTTTGCATGTGGTTCTAATCTGATGTAAATAATATTCAATATAAACTAGAGGCAGATGCCAGTGGACTTTCCAATTGGTTTATTGAAAATCATACGACACTGTGACATTGTGTTTTAAGAAAATAAATCCCCTGACATTTCAGTAAAATATCAGCGCATTCTATGTAGAATAATAGAAAAGCTCCTTGGGTGATACTTGGTAAGAATAAAGACTTGAAAGAATAACGTTGAAATTATATGCAAAAGAACTGGCCAAAAAACTTTATGCACTTGCATGAGTCGCAAAATTCATGGACCAGGAAAAGTAAAAGAAAGTAAAAGAAAGTTATATATTTTCTCAGTTTAACGATTGTCCTGTAATTTGGATGCTTCATGTTGTGAATGATGTGAATCTCAATTTTATGTCTGAAGTCTTTGTTGAGAAGAAATTCTCGTATAGACTGAGCAATTACGGCAACTTGTCAGTATTGATTTCACACACAAATGGGTATGGAATAGAAAAAATTAGGTACACTGGACAAAAGCTATGGCACTTGTTGCCACTTGATTTAAAAAAAGTCCTCTATCTTGAATTCAAGTGCAGTCATTGCCAAAAGCACTTGGAACACAAAGCAATTTGCGTTGTGTTATTATAATTTACAATTCTTTTCCCGGATACTCCTTTTTCCGCATCTCTTTCCCTCGAACAATTTTGATAATTTAGAAAAAATATCATAAAAGAATCGCAAAATAAAGTGCTTCCTAAAATCCTAATCCGTTTCATAGTAAACCAACATTGTTTCGTGGGGGAGAGGGGGATGGTTGAATTAGACCTTGGAAACTGACGTCAGTGTTCCACCAAAACTTTTGGCAGGGATTGTGGAATATAATAAAGAAAGCGTCGATTTAGTAACTGCAACTGTAGATTGTGTAAGTGGTTCGAAATAGGGTTTTTATAGATAATCACTTACCCTAAAAGCTCTATTAAGTCCTCCCTCGCTATTAAGCCCCCCTCTATTAAGTCCCCCCTTATCAAGCAAAAACTTTAAATAAGCCCCCCTTTTTAGCCTTGGATGTCAAACATAGAAAACATGCACATTTAGTGGGTCTTATGACGGTTGTGATGATGATAAGATCGTGTGCATTAAATACGGCCTATGTAAAGACTAACTTGTGCGACTTAGTAGTCAGTTGAAATTTATTTCGAAGATGTCCAAGGGTTATCAATTAATCCTGGTGACGTTGATGAAAATGAGGACCTTATGATTTTGAGAACATTTGTATGACATGTTCATAACAAAAAATGGCCAAGGGCATTTTTGAAACATTTTTTGATTCAAATTTTTAATAAGCCCCCTATCTCTAATAAGCCCCCATCTCTTTTAAGGCTTCGCTTCAGGACTGAAAAAAAACAAATAAGTACCCTGGGGGCTTTTACGGTTGTGTGTAATTGTGTTGTAGTTGTGTTCAACTGCTGTGGAAAAATTGTTAATAGGAGTATTTTAGTAAATTTCAATGTTCGTTTTGGTTAATTGTTGGCTTTAACTAGCAAAAATTTTTCAAAGCAAAAAATTTCGCTGGGACAAACTTTCGTCTATATCAAAATTCACTTGGAGAAAATTTCATCAAAATATTTCTGCAAAAATTCTGTTGTGAACACTGATCAGTGGTTGTGAAAGGTCAGCGGGCTCGATGCAAATGCGCATGCGTTATTTACAGAAATTATTTCCAGTACAAGGGAGAGGTAATGGCAACTAAGTAGCGAGGAAAAGGCGGACGACGGAAGCCAGAATCTCCTTTTATTAAGGCCGTATATAAATTAGATAGGTAGTTAATTATGAACTGTATGAATTGTACTGAGAATATGGTGGCTAAACGAAAAGACAAACGGTGTACGAGCACTAGTTCTAGCGTGCTTCGACCTTTGAGGCCCCCTGCGAATCAAACATCTTGGCAGACACCATCCTCTGCGTGCCATGATGGAGAAACTAAAGGCCCTGTCATTGTGAAAGAAATGCCGTTCTTTTGTTTTGAAGTTCTCTTTAGCCATATATATCGTCTGGAACCACCAAGGGTGCCTAGTTTTACGAACGATCCATAGTAAGTATGTTTGTCAATATTCTTTCCAAGCTCCGCTCCGATACGCCAGAGTCTCTCTTCCAAGCGACATCTTTCTGCTCATTCTTATTTACGTTTTTAAGTCCTTTTTCATTTGCCTTTTTCGGCTATATTGGAGCTGTTTAATTTGAACATTTTGCCTTCTTTTATGGAGGTAGTTATAGAGACAACCGAAGCTTCCTTCCTATTCTCTTGCTATTTATATTTCGTCTTATTTAATGATGTATTTGCCGTTCTATTGTCAGTCAACAGAATCTGGTAATTTTTCCAGTTCTGTCTAGATATCCATTGAAAAACAAAACGAACTTAATTGTATGTTTCTTGTCAATTATCTTGTGTTGTGGTGAAAACCGCTCGTTATTTAAATTATCACTCCTATAATATCCCTAAGCCAAACCACTCCCATGCTTTCTAGTTATTCAAAAGCCATTATCCTGTATCTTTCTTACCTGGCTGAAATATTTTAGATCTGTCTTAGTTTTGAGACAGAAATTTTCGATTATTTGTGATGTATAGTGCCTGTTTGTTGTCAAAATTTGCATATGAAGCACAGACTTTGAACAGGTTGGATTTTCCCTGTGAATAGAACAACAATGATTTAGGGGTTTCCTCTCAGCTGCTGCTTCATTGGTTGTGTCCATAATAATGGTTGCCCTGGTTTCATGGTGGTTGCATTGTTTTGAATCCCAATGCTGCTAATCTTCTATGTTTTTATTGACTCATGTAGTTTTTAGTTGCACATGTTTCTATTCATGAACAATTTTGCTTGCTCTGACAATGCCAGTAATTTTCATTGCATTTATTTTCTACAAGCTTTGAGAGGAAGAGTGTTTTCTAAATTGAAGACATACTTTCAGTTGCAATTGTATGCATTATCTAGAGTTTAAATAATATAATTTGATTACCCCTATTTTGTTTTTATAAGAACACGCTTTATAAAAACACAGAGGCTCAGTTATAATACAAACAACAAAAATATGCTCAAACACAAACATTTCATTCAAAGCAATAATTAACTACTACATTTATATATAATATATGAACCACAAATAACAGTTATCTTTTTACAAAAAAGGAAAACTACATACAGTAGGTAGTTCGGGGTTTAATATGTTTGTTGTCATGCATATGCCACATATGAAAGATTTGTTAACAAAATAGAAGAATGTCATGCAAAGCTGTTGCCAGGTGATCCTAGAAGCAATTTATATATTAAATTGTTTAAAAAAATGATTTTTGATTACAAAGAACATTAAGATCACCCAAGCCTCAAAATATCCAAAAAGTAAGAACATTTAGTCTAAACCAAAACTACCTATTATATAAGAGTGTACATTTATTTTTATTATCAAGGCATTTGTTAAATTTTTTCAATGACAGAACTTCAATGACAGGGCCTTTAGTTTTCAGATTTTAAAACTTTGAAAAAACAAACATACAATTATAATTTTTTTTGTCTGGCACTCTTCAGAGTAGAAACCGTCAGAACATAGATTGAAAACTGATCTATGTTTTTTCTCTGAAGAGTGTCAGAGGATAAGAATTTTAACTTGGTGGCACAGTGATATAAATTTGATATCAAAGAGCATGTCCTGATGTTTTTGGCAATTCATAAGATAAGCTTCCCAGCTTATATCTTTAAGCTGAAACTTTTTGCAACTTTCCATGTAATAAAAATTTTGTGGAAAATTTTCCACAATGAATGTGGTTAGACAACCTTGTCAGTTGAAATGGATGCAATTTTTTGCTGGAAGGGCCTTTTGAAATGAATTACAGCAGCATTCTGGTTGGATGTTCTGCTTTTCTTTGTGGAGAAAATTTATAAAATAGAAATCATAGCAAGAAGATTTAGGATAATCTTCATAGGTCTCCCAACTCAAGATGCTTTGTGGTTTGTAGTATGTTTACATTAATGAAGACTCTGTGTGGTTTGTGGTATCCTGGCATACACACAAATGCAATTGGTTGATATGCTTAACATTTTCAATGCTTAACACTGTATTTGATTTTCAATTAGTTGCTTCTTACTACTTATAATAATTTTTTGGTTTTATCTTTTTTCCATTTATGCACACCAAACTTTGTCTGTTTTAATAGAGAGATTTAGAATGGACATCATTCACCAGAAAATCCCTTGCCTGTGGCACTTCTTCTTCTTGTACTCAAATTGAGTCCTTTAAGAAAGCTCATTGATGATATTCAAAGGTGCAGATTTCAATGTACAATTATTGTTTGGTGGAAGGTACAAAAATAAAAATAAAAACTAGCTGTACCAAGCTTGTTTTGATATGGCTGCTTGCGTTATTTTAAACTGGCCAGCTTTGCAGTTTTTGCATTTTGAAAAATATAATTTTGTAACACAGATAGTATTTCACTATAAGAAAAATTGATGAAATGAGGCATAAAAATTATAGATTAATTGCCCTTTTGGGGCTTCACAGTGCATTTTGGCATGTCAAACGATAGAGCATTATTGTGCAAGAATAATTGTGTCAGTGGTTTGAATCATTAAATGTCTTGGAATTGGCAGGTAGATCTTGTCCTGTATACACTTTTCTGTCCAGTTCAATGGACATTTTGTAACCTTTCTATTCATCTTTATGCAAACCTTTCTTCTTGGTCCTTTGAAGAATCCGCTGATATGATCAAAACACATCTCGATTCTCTATTACTATGTGTGATTACATATTGCAATATTGCCAAGCTAGTGAAAGTCACAAATATTACTGCTTTGAAAAAGCAACAATTTCGGAAGATATATACTTGGGGTTTTTTGTCTGGCACTCTTCAGATTATAAAATGTTTTATGCTCTGAAGAGTGTCAGACAAAAAACCCCAAGTATATATCTTCTAAAATGTTTGCCATTTTTAAATTCTGTACCACAAAAAGACTGTTTGCAAATATTACTGCAAGCTCCAAATGTTTTGACTAATGCCAGCAGGATATATATATAGTTTGTTATAATCTAGATAGCAGTGCTCCTACTTCCCCAAATAAAGCTATTTGATTTTTTCTTTTCCTTTCAGCCCCTTATTTGTAACATGGAAAATTGGAAGGGACAAGAAGCTCAGAGGATGCATAGGAACTTTTACAGCATTGAATCTACACCAGGGACTTAGAGAGTATACAATTTCTAGGTGAGCATAAATTCTGAGCTCATGTTTATAATAACTGCTTACAGAGAGACAAAAGGCATATAGATAGTCCAATGAAACAGGGATGCCGAAGCACATTTTGTAATGAGGGGGCTGTAGACAAATTGGGAAACCTTGTAACCCTCACCCCATTATCTTTGATGCCACAACCTCAGTATCATAGTTCAAAAAATTTAAATTCGTTTACTTGTACATTTGACTTAGCTATTTGTAATGGATGGAAAATAAATATACAACAACAGCAAATTGGTCAAGAGTTTTCAAAATCACATCAAAAAGCAGATATTTTGTTCTGCACAGAAGTTTAAGAAAAATGGCTCTATGGCAAAGAACAAATTTGTACTGAATACATTTAAAAGATGGAGAAAAAAATTGAGTATTGGGTTTGAGAATGGAGAAAAGGATGCAAATGATCTGTGCAAGAAACAAGGATGCTTTTTCACATTTGTTCTGTAAAAGGTTAATAAAGAAAGCTATTCAGGCAAAAATGCAATTTAAGGATCCACTTTGAAGATAAGGTTAACAAATCACATTAGAAATGGAAACGTCTAAGACAGAACATAGAAGGCTTCAAGATGTAGCTGTAGCTAGACATTCAGAATTGGGTGGAATTCAACCAACTGTTGTATCCATGTTTGCAAAGGCAACAAAGGATGATACAGAAAGTTAATGAAAGTGATTTATGAAATGTTAATGCAACCAACAATGCCCTATAAAGATTTAATTGTTCTGATAAAATGTTCAGAGAAAATTAGTGCGAAAATTGATTGAAAAATAGGAGAATCAGTCATGAATTCATTTGCTACAATCATGGAGCATAGCTTCCAGGGAGAGGTTGAATACCAAATTACATGGCGACAAAGCTATAAGAGATGTAAGGATTTATTTTTTAAGATGCTGATTTCATATTTCGAAGAAATAAACTGTATTTCAACCTCCAAGTTTGTTTACTACAAAAGAAATATAAATACAAGTCCGTGAGTTGAACATCTGATTGAGCTAGTATATATTTAAGAGGAAATACAATGGTGTTTTAACAGAAAGAAAGATTGACCTTCCCTATTAACAATTCATTGCCTAGACCAGTGAGAAGAATCAGCAGTGAAAGCAGCATTCATTATTAAGGAGTGTGAAAAAGTAGATAGATTCTGCACGTCAAACATCTATATTTTTAATAGACAATTGAATAGGAATTAGCCAAGAGCCTTCGTAAATTATTTTGCTAACCAATATGAAACTGTCAGTGTTGAGGTAAATCCATTTTCCAGGAAGATACACTGAACTTTGATAAGTTTGAGCCTGAGTTTGACAAGGCTGTCAGAGACTGGAAAGATTCATAAATTTTGTATTCAGCTACTATGAGAAAATGAACATGTGCGTGTCTGGAGACTTCTGGAAATCAATCAATGATTCACCATTGTGATGAATATCTAAACCTTTTTCAAGCATTAAGTCTCATCATTTTCAAGCAAAGATTATATTAGAAAGGTTTTAAAGAACATTCGGCATAATCATCAACGATATTCTCTCAAACAAACAGTTGTCAAGGAAGCACCATACACTCACTGATAAAGTTGATGATTCCTTTTTCAATTTATTACTGCGGAATCGAGAGTGAAAATGATTCAGTCATATATTGAAAATCAGGAGGGAGAAAGAAAGTTGTGAAAGCAAAGAAAATTTTAGCAGTGTTAGCAGAATCAATAGAAATGAGCAAAAGTAAAGCACCAAAGAAGGTAGCAAAGAAAGTGATTCTGATTGTACCAGAGAAAAACACATCAATGATTAACTCAAGGTGAGGGTCAGGGCTGTCGCTAAGCACTTTCACTTGGGGGGGGGGGGGTGCCAGTCACAAATTTGCTGACAAAATAGGGTGTGGTCTAAGACATATCATTTTCTGGGTGTGGCATTTTGACGCAATTGATTTTGTTTATCAAAGAGTATGTTCTCGTTAGTCAATCGTCGCTTCGATTTTCGAATGACTGAGGGTACTTTCTTTGATTTTATCCTAAATGTCAAGTTTTGAGCAATGAGATACCCTCATTAATTCAAATAGTTCAGCACGTTGATCTTAATGACAGGACCGCCGAGAGGCTTCGTAGGCCTTGCAGCAAAACGGAAAGACGAGGCCCCCTGCGAGTGGAGCGAGCAGAAATTCTTTACGACCTCGCCTTTTAGATTGTCTTAAAATGCATTTCAGAATATTTCTTGCAGTCCTCTCATGCAATCAATTTAAATATTTGCTTGTGAACAAGGAAACCCCATTCAAGAAAAAACACAGACGCTGGATATGACATGACATTGTTATTGCCACTTCAGGTTGCAATGTTTGCTCACGAATGGCAATATTCGCGGACATATCACAGGATTTGCCGACGGTAGACCAGATTTGCCGACGGTAGACCAGATTTGCCGACGGTAGACCAGATTTGCCGACGGTAGACCAGATTTGCCGACGGTAGACCAGATTTGCCGACGGTAGACCAGATTTGCCGACGGTAGACCAGATTTGCCGACGGTAGACCAGATTTGCCGACGGTAGACCAGATTTGCCGACGGTAGACCAGATTTGCCGACGGTAGACCAGATTTGCCGACAATATTTTTTCCAGGAGGGTGTGACGCCCCCACGCCCCCACTCCTGACGGCCCGGCGAGGGTATATACCCAAACGTACCCAAATCCGCTGAGTCAAGATTTTTGTGCCTATTAGTTGACCTATAATTTGTCACGTGAACTCACCTCGAACTGATTTACGAAACGGCTTTTGTGAATAGCAAGATGTCAACAACGGATGTCGATATGACGTTAAATGCAGCGATCACGCTGAAACCAAATGACCCCCTAAAGAGAAGGCCTATTTACCATGACTCAAAGCCTTTAACTGTATAAACAGCGACTTGAGCCCCGTTGAAACGCTCTCAACATTGCACTAAACATCGATTAACATTTGTACGGTGATGTTTAGTCATTCGTAAGGTCAGGATCTTGGTCTTGCAACTTCCTTTGAATTGCTATCTCATCCGATTTGTTTCCACTGCCAACTGTTTCTAAGCGTTCGTCATGGTTTGCCATTACGATTTATAAAATTCAAGTTCTCTCAGCCTCTTGGTCGGATCTGAGTTCTTGACGCGTTGAAGACAATTTCTTTCTTTCGCGCGCAATATCCAAGTCTAGTGAGCTTGCGCCGACTGAACATTGTTGTTTGGAGTGTTAAAATGCTCTCGACATCTCCCAACAGCACCTTTGACAATAAAAATGTTGAGTCGACCCGCTGAACATTTTTGAATCTGTTCAAACTAAACTCAACATCGCTGAACACCGCTCAACACCACTCAACATCACTGAACAGGGTGTTAAAACTCTCAACATTTGCACCCTACAAATGTTGAGCGATGTTCAGTGAAATGTGAAAAGCGTTTTAACGGGGCTTTACTGATCAAATTTATAACCTTAACGATCTCACGTTATTATCTTTGGTCTTAAAGGCATTGAGTCATGGTATATAGGCCTTCCCTATAGGGGGTAATTTGGTTTCGGCGTGATCGTTGCTGTTTCATGTGATATTGTCATCCAATGTTGACAACTTGCTATTGATGGAAACTGTTTTGTTAATCAGTACGAGGTGAGTTCATGTGACCAGTTTAAGGTCAACCAAGAGCATCGCAGTCATGGAAATCGTGACTCAGCGGATTTTGGCATTTTGGGTATACCCAATTCATTTTATCATGACTCAATGCCTTTAACATATTAAGTTGTTTGATAATATTTTGTCTGTTAATACTCGTTTTCATCGATTTATCATTTTCAATTGCGCATGCAATTTATCTTGCGTGCTTCATATTTTTGCAATCAGCAACTATTTAATATAGATTCAACTCTCTTTATTCCATTAGTGCTTTTAAAGATAGCCGGTTTAATGCAGTGACAGCAGACGAGATTCCGAAACTTCATTGCTCTGTTTCATTATTAACCAACTTTGAAGAAGCTAAGCATTGCCTAGACTGGGAGGTATGCAAATTATAAGTCACATCATTTCAGTAAAATTGTCACTCATAATTTTCATGTTCCATGCTGATCTGCAGTACAAATACCGTATTCTCTCTTGTATCCCCGCTGCGCGTTTATTGATTAAATCACCTACCGTAATGCCTCGAACAAGCGCCCCCCTCGAATAAGCGCCCCCTTCGAATAAGCGCCCATCATAGAGGTGAAATTATTGAATAAGCGCCCACCCCTCCAATAAGCGCCCATCCTTCAACCTTCAGAAACGGGCGCTTATTCGAATTTTCGAAAACAACATAATTGGAAGGCAATTCAACAAGAAAGATTGAATGACCAACACAGTTTGTTTTAGTTTTCATTCTCATTTTTTGCCTTTCCATCATAATAACATGCTTCAATTGAAAACACATTCATTTTTTTAGTCATTTCCAAATCTATTTTTTTAACAAGCGCTCCCCCCTCGATTAAGCGCCTCCCTCGAACAAGCACCCACCCTGGAGCCTCAAAAAGTAAATAAGCGCCCGGGCGCTAATTCGAGGCATTACGGTAATTAAATTTGGGATTATTAGTAAGGCGAGATTAATTTTTCAACGCGCGTTTGGAAAGCAGGCTTACATTTTCAACATGTTCTCCTGTGTTTTGGCGCGGAAACTTTGCATGTAAATTGCGAAGAACATTGACGGAAGTTGGTTAGAAAGTTTATGCTGATTAGCTGAAACATTATTCACTGTTAGTGTCATCAAATGAAAGTGACAAGACGCTACGATGAATGTTCCAGAATCATTCAAAAACTCCAAAAACATTTGCAATGCATTGGTTCTTTCTTTTATCAAGCCCGCATGCGGGACTATCGGAGAGGCGGGATTAATTTCTCAAAGTATACAAAAAGCAGGTTTATTAGAGAGGGTGGGAATCTAGAAGAGAATACGGTATATGGTGAAACAATATCTAAAATTTCTCAATTATCTACCTTATATTACCTGGTTATATAAGATACTTAGTTGAAGAATCTCATAAATCCAATAAGAATTTCATTCTAAATCGCAATATTTCAGCGCTGTTCATATACCGATAGGCTGCCGGTTTGAAAAATGAGAAGAACAAAGAAAGGTCTAAAACAATGTTTAAACTAACGTAAAGTTTTAACTAACGATACTGGAGTGTCAAGAAAGATCACCCATTACACAAATAGAGACATAATGTTGACGGGATCTAGAACCTCTAATGAAGATTACTGCAGATTCTTAGTTGAAGGATCTCATTGATCGTCTCAAGTACAGAAACGATAAGTTGCATTAAAAAACCATTCTTGTATAGGCAGGATTAGTTCAATCCTGGCTTAGACACTTAAATCACAAAACGACTGTAGTTAAAGCTAGATTTGTTTCTAAAAATCCTCTCCCAAACAATTAGCTAAATTGTGAAACTTTATACTTTCCCTGTAAAAGAGATTACAGCAGTCTGAAGAACTAATTCTAATCTGAACTTAGATTGGTGTGAATGGTATCAGAATAGAGTTTTATAACGATAAAGGACACAGAAAGACTGCAACATATCTTCCAGAAGTTGCCAAAGAACAAGGTAAGAATTTTTTTTGTATTTATCAGACATTCTTGGGCAGGTCAGTCAAGTTCCATGCTGTGTATAAGGTTTTCTGCGTATAACTTGGTGTGTTGTGGCACTGGGAGTCAAGATAAGACTGATTACGGTATTTTGTGTTCTGTTAATTATACCACAAAGGATCCGTACTAAGAAATGGTTCCTTGTTAGAAACTAAAGTATAAACGATTCTTCTAATGCCATTCGAAACTGGTTACTGCAGGCTCATACTGCATGCTACAGGTAATATGTATCTACCTGCTAAAAATTCAGCATCAAAAGCACTGATTAAACAATTCTAATTTCAAAATCTTCATTTTGTTTTCTTTATCAAGGTTATTGCTTTACTTCGAAAAAGCTGTTACCTGATGTAATCAAGGAAAGGCCATACTTTGAAATCAAGGAAGCTTGCGATATAACCAGAATTGCGTTTACTTCCAAACACAGTGGAATCCCAATATAACGAACCCCGGATTTAACGAAGTAAATGTCTAGTCCCTTGGATTCTGCCTAACAAACTCCTTAAAAATTCTCTCGGTATCACGAACCCCGGATATAACGAATTCTCGATGTTACGAACCAAATTTTTGGTCCCTTTATCATAATTACCCTCGATATTACGAACTTTTCATAAATTTTTCATCTGTTATTTATACCTAATTATTTTCGGTGCTCATTTATCACTTTCTCTTTGGGGAAAACCTTATTGTCATCGACAAAACATGCTGATGGTAGAGCACGAGATGAAAGTTTGATCGCGTCAAAAATTACTGCCAATAAGTACATTGACACGAACAAATACCTTCTTTCATATGAGACATTGGCAATGAGCAGCGATAAAATTTTATTGGGAGATCCAGATAGAATTTGAAAAGAAATATACAAATAAGAATGTGAAGTAATCGAAGAATCATCCAGCTGCCAACTAGAATTGAAGTGATACCAGCTTTGCCAATCTTTTGGTCCCAAATAATAAGAGGAAATAAGGATCTTCATTTTCGATGACTAACCATTAGAAATATTTGAATTCAGCTTGGTTTTTTGGAATTAAATGTGCACAGAAGTTGGAGATAGCCTAAACAAGCCCATCAAAGGTATTTTTAGGCATGTACTGCGAAAAGACATAAACAACGTTTCTCCCGTAGACAGGGAATTTTTAACAACAATCGAGCAAAGTGCCTAACCTTAGTTTTTGCTCTTGATTTGGGTACTTTCAGCCTTGCTGAAAATTTAAAGCCTTGGATACATTTTTGTAACACCATAGAAATCACGTGATCGATGACGTCATTTTCCCCGGTCAACAAAATTTTTAATTCTCTTTTTTAAAAAATCGCTCCAACCATCTTCTTTGGCATTGTAATAGGAGCAAAAAGTTCTAAAGAATAAACTCTATCAGACCTGCAGATAACGAGTTATTGCTATTTAAAGTTTGCATGACGTCATCAAAATGGCGGTTCCGCAGTTTTTAAGCACGTGGAATTCAAAGGCTCATGGTCATAATTTAGGTTGCTTTACCTCGATTATGAAGTTTTTTGACCTTTGTGTTATTTGGCAACTCAATAATGTCATTTGAGCTGATATATTTGCACGCCTGGGAAACTAAGTATTGAACAAAATGCAAGCAAAAGGAAAATGTTCTAGTAAAAATTTTTCTTCAAAAAAGCTATACTGAAGAGGAGCTTTCGTCAGCATTGTCGCTCGCCAATGAACTCCAACTTTTACAGCAGCTAGAGAGTGCAATATTTAATAGCACTTACATTCCATTGCCAAGCATGAGTTGATACCTCTTGCACTCAAACCTCACAATTACAGGCGATGTTGCAGTTATCAGAATGTCTGTCGAAGTCATTTGAAGGAAACGATGCACAGGGACAGATTTACTATGATGGTGGGGGGAGGGGGTGGTGCAACAATTTGTATCCTTTGGCAAATTTTGCTACTATTTGTTTAAAAACATTTTTTGATATTCAACAGTAATCAAATATCGCCAAGATTTTTCTTTGTTAACCTTGTTATCTTCTTTATCTTGAAATTAAAACCGAATTTTAAAGATAGGCGTTTCCATCATTTTCCAGTGACATGAAGGGTGTGGCACGAAAATTCAATTATTATCTAACAGCCCGCACCCTTATCCTTAAATCTTAAATCCAGCGCCGCTTAAATCTGTCCCTGACTTTGCATCCAGCTTTCTCAGACCTGAAGATTGATGGAATTGATATAAGAATTACTGGTAAGCCATATTCCAAATTTCACAACGAATTGCTCAATAGAGAGACAAACGTTACACAGGACCTTTTCGATACAACTTTATTTAAACATACATGGAAGTTAATACATGTGTTAACACGATTCATACGCATTGCATGGTCAGAGTAGCTCTTGGAAAGAAATTACATATCAAGACAGCTTCGAAAGATAACGAGTCAACAGAGAAAAAAAGTTTCGATCGTCTAGCTCATTAAAAGTACAAAAAGCTTTTTCACTCTAATAAAGAAGTGAGCTTGAATATAGAAGCCGGTGCCGCTTTCTATTGCAACACGCTCGGACAGTTCCGTGCATCATCGAGTAAAAAGTTGCTGCTGCAAGGCTTGCGTAAATGCCACAAAATGTAAGATGGAGTTAGATTCGTCATCACTATGAAAAATTAAAGTAGCCTGTAAAGAGGATTGCGAGGGTTGTACAAAGCAAGGAAAGGATATTATGCTTGAAGTATCCTTCATTGTCATAGGGGAACACAAACATACAGAGTCTAAAGAAATAGATCTTTGTTCTTGCATTCGTGTGTTATCAAAGACGTAGACATTCGGCTTGTGCTTCATGCAGAAATGCAAGAATCAGATGTAGTCCTTATCTCAAAAAAATAGTGATGTTCTTGTGCTTTTGATTTGGGCGTAAAAACACACAGGTTTAACAATTATGACCATGAGAGATTCGTCAAAGTTGGAAGCATTTGCAGAAGCCTCGGCAAATAACTGTGTTCTTCCCTGCCAGCATTCCATGCTATCACAGGGTGTGATAACACATCCTACTTCTACAGGGCTGGGAAACTAATTAACTTTTCCGATCTGAGAAAGCTAGATGCATCGTTTCCTTCAAATGACTTCGACAGACATTCTGATAACTGCAACATCGCCTGTAATTGTGATGATTGAGTGCAAGAGGTATCAATTCATGCTTGGCAATGGCATGTAAGTGCTATTAAATATTGCACTCTCTAGCTGCTGTAAAAGTTGGAGTTCATTGGCGAGCGACAATGCTGACGAATCGACGGCCTTTCATTGCTGACGAAAGCTCCTCTTCAGTATAGCTTTTTTGAAGAAAAATTTTTATTAGAACATTTTCCTTTTGCTTGCATTTTGTTCAATACTTAGTTTCCCAGGCGTGCAAATATATCAGCTCAAATGACATTATTGAGTTGCCAAATAACACAAAGGTCAAAAAACTTCATAACCGAGGTAAAGCAACCTAAATTATGACCATGAGCCTTTGAATTCCACGTGCTTGAAAACTGCAGAACCGCCATTTTGATGACGTCATGCAAACTTTAAATAGCAATAACTCGTTATCTGCAGGTCTGATAGAGTTTATTCTTTAGAACTTTTTGCTCCTATTACAATGCCAAAGAAGATGGTTGGAGCGATTTTTCAAAAAAGAGAATTAAAAATTTTGTTGACCGGGGAAAATGACGTCATCGATCATGTGATTTCTATGGTGTTACAAAAATGTATCCAAGGCTTAAGATATTCAGCAAGGCTGAAATTACCCAAATCAAGAGCAAAAACTAAGGTTAGGCACTTTGCTCGATTGTTGTTAAAAATTCCCTGTCTACCGGTTTAACGAACTCCCGATATAACGAACTATTTTCTGGTTCCCTTCAGAGTTCGTTATATGGGATTCCACTGTATGTATATGAAAACCAAGATTAAAGGACCTCTCTAGATATAACTTGCAATGTCTTTTCATTGATATCTTATAGCAATATAAATATGTTGTTTGTTTTCAATATGTTTGTTTGGAGTCATAGTTGCTTGAATTTCAACAATTGAATAGAATTGCATAGAACGAAATGTTCCGTTCGGTGACATTGCTAGGTGAATTTTACGTGGCAGTTTATTTTGGATGGCCAGGTCTTTATTTGTTAAGCCAGAAATCCTTCAGCGAAGATACCAGTTGCAAATTGTAGTAGTTGCAGTTCTGTGTCGTTTGGATGTAAATATTAAAGACATTGAGTCATTATAAAAGGCGAGAATATACCCAAACTTACCCAAATCCGCTGTGTCATGATTTTCGGGCCTCAATTTTATTGGTTGACCTGGCATTAGTCACATGAAACAAAACAGTTTCCATCAATAGCAAGATGTCAACAACGGAGGCCGGTATTACATGAAACTGCAGTGATCACGCTGGAACCAAATAACCCCCTATAGCGGGTCGTTTACCATTCCAACACGGGATATGGCGAGGAAAACTGTTAAAGCAAAAATACTCGAGGGAGAAGCAGCAGGGCCGTTACAGTGTACGGGTCACGGTACCACTCCAAATGATTAGATGTAACCAATAAGGTACAAGATAAACTAGAAGGTCAACAGAAACCTCCTTGCGTATGGAAAAGTAGAGCCAGAAAGGCGAAGTCTTTTGGTTTGAATGTGGCTTTCCCAGTTGCACACCATGACCACTTGAATCAAGAATTTTTCAACGAAGGTTACTTTGTGTTTTAATGTTTTTGGTCCCCAAACTGATGATATTACATTTGAAGGCGTTTTCACGTTGCTCTTCTGCCTTGGAAGCACATTGCTCTTTAAATTTGTTGCAGTTCCCTCACAAGTTGCTGATCAAATTGTTAAACCATGATCAGCAGCAAAAGAAGACATTTTTGGATCGAGGAGGCTTGTGATTCAGCATCTAATTTATCTGTGAGAAAGTTACAGCTGGAAATTTAAATTTACTTCAGTTAACATGAAAACTAAAGCCTCAGTTGTAGGGTTTTCAGTGTTTTGCGGAACAGGTTTTCCATAGTCGACAAAACCACCATATTTTCCTTTCATCCAATCATAAATGATTTGCTTATTGACATTGCATCAGCCAGTAAAGCACTGTCGACCATGTATTGTTTTTCCTTACTCTGTTTTTCAAGATCTTCAAAAATCTCTAGCAAACATCCTGGTGCACAATTGACGAAAGAAAGTTGTATGCTTTGTAAAAACAACAATAAAGATACCTTTTTAATTCTTTATCCAGCCTCTTCCAGTTGGCTTCCGTGCTTTTCTGTTGTCTTCATTCATAAATAGTTCTAAGCCAGTGCCTGAGAATTGATCTTTGAGAACTGGTCCCCTTATCTCGCTGCATGCACAAGGTCGTCTTGTTTTCATCCTTTTCTGTTCTGAAATTTCGAATTCTTCAGACGTGGAATAAGCGAATGTTAAGAAGGCTTCCATGAAGCTCTCCAGTTGTCTCCGTAAAACATCTTTCTTCACCCCGTCTCGAGCTAAAGCATCCTAAGCTCATCTTTGATCGAAGTATGGAGAATCTCGGTATAACTACTTATGCTAAGGAACCTTATCTTTATACACTGCAGTCTATTATAACATTGAAGTTATTCTAGTTATTCTATACTCGTCAAGTTCCCCAGAAACTCTTTTATCGTGGCATTGCTCTCCAGTAAGTGTTGATGTTTTCTTTGTTCGTTTCTGTGACAAGCAAACAGCGATATCCAGCTCCATATTTTCGAGAGCTGTATTTACTTCAGCTCAGAATGCTTTTGTTGTCGTGATGATCTTTTTTATTTTGTTCACTCTTGCTATTTTGTTGATTTGAACTGCTACTGCCTCAACCACACCCCATGCTTGCCTTGCCAAGGACTTTCGTTGGCACGTACAGAGGAATTGGAGTTGTTATCTTGTAAATGCGCTAAGCAACAAATAAGGATTGTTTTGATTTTCAGTAAAAAAAGCAGATCCAAACTTTCGAACTGAAAATATTAAAAAAAAATTATCAAAATATACATACCCTGCTTTAAAAAACAAGGGGGATCTACATAGAAAATAGGTAAATTTGGCTCAGGCAAAGTGGGTCTCAGCCCGCTGGCTCTACGCCATTGATAATAACTTCGAAAACATCTAATTAAAATAAAGGTCAGTAGAAGCTCGACATCTAAATCCTGCTGGGATGGCTCTTGGACAGCCTTAAAACCGATCTATCAAACTATCTTACATAGCCAGAACCTAAAAGAAACAGTTTACATGTTCAAAGACTTCCAATTTTCCTTGCAACACTCCATAAAACTAGCTACTACATGGACATGTAGCAACAAGAACAAACCGATCAAAGAAGATAGGCCTAGAGTCAAATCCGTCTTCTGTGTCCGCCAACTTCTAGCCGCTTTGCTCATCGATTTAAACGTTACAAACGTCTAAAACCTTCCCTTTCTCCTGTTATCGATCCTTACAAGTTACAAACAACACATCATGCCGAGCACTTTGAGTTGCGCATCAATAACACCACCCTGAATAGATTTTGGCGTACAAACTATCTTGAGAAGAAGCGTGGTTTCAGCCTCTCATTGAATATAATTGTCAGACTTACCTTTGTGGTATTCATTTCGATCTTTTGCAACGTAACGGGATTTTTTTTTAAAGTTTTGGCACCGTGGTTGCTGTCTGTTATGACTAAATGGCCCTTTAAATTAAATGTTATCTTTGAGCTGGCAAAAAATTTTCCGGCGAACGAGAGCCGAATATTGTGTTATAGGAGTGTCAGCAAATCGTTTTTTTCTTTTTACGTTTCTTTCTCGGAGAGGAGAACTTTTAAGCTTTATAACTTAATGAAAAAATTAGAACTTTGGAAGATATTTTAGGTTAGACAAGGCCTTTAACGATAGCAACAAATAGCAAAAAATTTTCCTAATTGGAGGATCAATATTTTATGTGCGAAGAGTTTTTGTACGTAGGATGGAAGGAAGAACAGTCGATTATGAGTAGTTAAGTAAGCCCAACATCTGCTTATTCCTGTGCCAAAATTGCGGATTTTTCAATTGCAGGTCTCGTAATGTGCTCTTTCTGTTCGGAAATGCGCGTTACGACATTATGAAATTTGTCTTTTGATGTTAGAGTGGGCAGATCGCCTACGTCTTTTTGGCAAAACAACAAATGATTGACAGCCTTCGTATTAGCAAAATTTTTGTCATTCATTTACAGAAGAGTGACAAATTATGAAGAGTTAAGGCAATTTTTATAAAGATGTGTTATCTCGGTACGATAAACTATGTTAGTCTGTTTGTGATTGCCTTCAATACGATAGGGACTATATTCTTTGGTTTGAAGGGCATGTTTCCCAACGCCGAGAAAAGTTTCACCCTTCCTTTGGCCAATAAGCCAAAACTTTAGAAAGTGTTCCAAGGAGAGTTTGCCACCTGAAGCGGTTTTTAACAACTATACTTACGGTCGAATTTTTACACATAGTCTTATTTTTATTTCGTTCTACTTTATTTTATTCTTTTTATATCTTACTGTTATCATTCAAACTTAAAATCATCATTATAAGCACATCAATTTGGATACATGGCTCGATAGCTTGCTCAAAGTTCTTTCCATGTGTCCATCAGCCTAAAATTGTTTAATTCTCATTGCTGCTCTATAAAATATTGCGGTTGACCATTCATTGTTATTTAGCCAAATTAACTTGGATATTGTATATTTAATATAATTATGTTAACCGGTATATTGTAATTAATCAATTTTATGTTGAAAAAAATATTTTGAGTTGAGTTGAGTCGTAAACCAAGTGGTTACCCATAGTTCGAAACATGTCTTTGAATCTTTAGTTTTGTTTGAAAACAATTCCATTCAACTTACCACCTTACCCGACCATCTAACATGCTCCTTATGGGAACCGGACTTAAAAACTTTAGAAAACGGACGTATCTATGTTTTCAAGCGTTGGCCGAGGTTATAAATTTGATAACATTGGACACCGGTACTGGTAAACCACTAGATTGATTAATGTTTGATGTGTTTATTTATTGAGCTTGATTATCATATAACTATTTGGTATTCTTGTTAAGATTCAAGGTCAAAAGAGTTCAGATTTACGTCAAAGTCCGTATAAACTGATGTCGATCGACCCTAATATTGCTTTGCTGTAGCCAGCGGTGTACAAGCATGACTCTTCCAGAGTGGAGATGGGGTCTGATGGAAGCAGAGGATGTCTGGCCGGGTGGCAAAGTGGCGATTGCCACCCGGGCCCTTTGCTTTAAAAAGAAAAATATGATAACCGGGCCTTTTTCATGAAAGAATTGAGAATATGAATGTTGATAACTTCTAATAAATGTTATTCTCTCTTTCACTTAAAATATCTACTTAAGTTCCGCAACAAATAGTAAAAGTCATTAAAATAAATACTGGTCATTAAAACATAACAAACTGGTAACAAAGATTAATAATAAATTTAGTGAAATTGTGGGTCACTGCAAAGCGCACATCGAGCCACCGAACATTACAACATCATAACAAAATGACATATCAGTACAATCGTGGCAGTTAAATCGCACATCAGTACGATACGCGGGCAGATTTTTTGGCTTCAGCTACCATCGTTGTGTTCGGAAATCACTCGATCACGATGTCTTCCAGTCTGTGGTAGGATACTGGAGGAGACACGCCCCCCCCCCCTCAGTTTTCGGCGGGATCAATTTTGTATTTCGTCTAAATCCGATGAGAAAATGTTGAGGGAGGGGTAATATTTTGGCAAAGTACTTTTTGTGAAGAAATCCTATGATTTTCAAACTGCCTTTACATGGCCAACAGTTAGTTATGGGCGTTCCCTTCAGGTATAACTGGCTTTCCTTGCTAGTAAAAGGGCGTAGTGGCTGGCGCCGACATTGGCTCGCGCCCGTGCCAAATAGCTAGTAGCCTGCGCGCAGTCTTTTGTTGCTGCTGTTGCTGTTGCTGAACGAGGAATGTTTATATTTCCCGATTGTCCAGCAAAAAGACTGCGCGCAGGCTAAAGAGCTAGCAGTGTGGACAAGACTAGACTAAAAGCATGGAAAATATTCTATGTTTTCAAGGCACGAACCGCCAAATAGAATCTTGGTCGTGGTTTTCAAAATAAGTGTATGTAATCCAAATTTACAACTTCGACTTCTCCTTTTCTCATTTATTTATTTTGACTTTTCTCCTTTCTAAAAGAACCGTTTATAAGAACACGAGCCTCTGTTACTGTAAAATGCAATAATGTTAGACCCCCTTAAAAATTGGTTTCCAAACAGCGAGTTTTTTGCCATTCAGGGCTACTTTTTCATTGAGTTTTCAAACTTGTTGGCAAGTAAAGAATGTTTAACTCACTTTCTTGGCAAATGAGGCTTGAACAACCCAACACCCCCCCCCCCCCCCAAGCAATGTTGGAACAATGTTGATGGATTAGAGAAATATCATACAATTAACGCAAAAGCAGAAACTTCCAAATCTTTTTCGCCCTTCTATGGTAAACCAACATTGATCTCTGGGGGAGAGGGGGACGGCTGAATTGGACCTTGAAAGCTGACATCAGTGTTCCAAGACTTTTAGCGGGTATTTTACTATGCCTTTATTCACAAGGCCATGTAAACAGAGCCTAAACACTTAGCGTTCGAGAAGAGTTCTGATCTCAATTATTTTCGTTGCAGGTTGGAGTAAAGTTGAGACAATTGACTCGTTGTTGAGAAAGGGTGGTTTTAAGGGACACATATCAAACGAAGTACGACATCGCATAAAGCTTACACGATATCGTAGCGAAAAGATCACCGTCTGTTACGATGAGTTTATCGCAGCTCGTAACCGCTGCCAAACACCCGGCTGTCGCAACACGATCACGTGATCTTTTTTTGGAGTAGGAGAGCTTTTCATATTACTTCATGAGGTGTTGAACTTACAAGCCGGCAGCTCAACCGGTTTTATATAACTCGTTGATATTAGTCGTATTTATCAAGGTTTTACATGTTGTTAATGAATAATTTCTACGCGAGAAAATCAGTCAGAAATTATTTTGTTTCATTCCTCTAAACATTCTCATGCAGTTTTATTTGGCCAAGTGTAGCAGAGTTTATCCAAATATTGAATTTTGTCCTTTTCTTCAGTTGTCGGTATTTTTAGTAGCAGAGTGTTGCCCTTTTGTGTCTGTTGTACGTGGTCTTGAGATATATTCTACTCCAACGGAAGGGGGTTTTACAAAGCTGGGGTTTTACATAGCTGGGGTTTTACATAGCTGGGGTTTTACATAGCTGGGGTTTTGCATTGCTGGGGTTTTGCATAGCTGGGGTTTTGCATAGCTGGGGTTTTGCATTGCTGGGGTTTTACATTGCTGGGGTTTTACATTGCTGGGGTTTTGCATTGCTGGGGTTTTGCATTGCTGGGGTTTTGCATAACTGGGCTTTTGCAAAGCTGGGGTTTTACATTGCTGGGGTTTTGCATAGCTGGGGTTTTGCATTGCTGGGGTTTTACATTGCTGGGGTTTTGCATTGCTGGGGTTTTACATTGCTGGGGTTTTGCATAGCTGGG